CCCCGAACCCGCTGGTGGACACCAGAGGTGAGGGGAGCCGTCAGGCTGAAGAAGGAGGCCTACAGGGCATGGTTGGTCTGTGGGTCTCCGGAAGCAGCTGACGGGTACTGGCGGGCCAAGCGGAGCGCAGCAGCGGCAGTCGCGGAGGCAAAAACTTGGGTGTGGGAGGAGTTGAACCGCAGATTGAGGAGGAGCAATGTGGTTTTCGTCCTGGACGCAGAACCGTGGACCAGCTCTTTACCCTCGTCAGGGTGCTGGAGGGGGCATGGGAGTTCGCCCAACCAGTCCACATGTGTTTTGTGGATTTGGAGAAGGCTTACGCCTGTGTCCCCAGGGGCATGCTGTGGGGGGTGCTCCAGGAGTATGGGGTTGGTGGCCCCTTGCTAAGGGCCATCCAGTCCCTGTACTGAAGGAGCATGAGTCTGGTTTGCGTGGCTGGCAGTAAGTCGGACCTGTTCCCGGTGAGGGTTGGACTCCGCCAGGGCTGCCCTTTGTCACCGGTTCTGTTCATAACTTTCATGGACAGAATTTCTAGGCGCAGCCGAGAGGTGGAGGGTGTCAGGTTCGGTGACGGGAGGATCTCGTCCCTGCTTTTTGTGGATGACGTGGTCCTCCTAGCTCCATCGAACAGTGACCTCCAGCTCTCGCTGGGACGGTTCGCAGCCGAGTGTGAAGCGGCTGGGATGAGAATCAGCACCTCCAAGTCTGAGGCCATGGTCCTCAGCCGGAAAAGGGTGGATTGCCCACTCCAGGTCGGGGGGGAGGTCCTTCCTCAGGTGGAGGAGTTTAAGTATCTCGGCATCTTGTTCACGAGTGAGGGTAGGATGGATCGGGAGATTGACAGGCGGATTGGGGCGGCGTTGTGGTGAAAAGGGAGCTTAGCCAGAAAGCGAAGCTCTCGATTTACTAGTCAATCTACGTTCCAACCCTCACCTATGGTCACCTTCTCTGGGTAGTGACCGAGAGAATGAGACCGCAAGTACAAGCGGCCGACATGAGTTTCCTCCACAGGGTGGCTGGGCTCAGCCTTAGAGATAGGGTGAGGAGCTCAGACATCCGGGAGGGACTTGGAGTAGAGCCACTGCTCCTCCACATCGAGAGGAGCCAGTTGAGGTGGTTCGGGCATCTGGTAAGGATGCCTTCCAGATGCCTCCCTTGGAAGGTGTTTCGGGCATGTCCAACCGGGAGGAGACCTTTGTGTATATCCTATAGCCCAAACCTGAATACTCTGCTCTACAAAATTGTGAGAAAATAAGCACAAATTTACAGCTGCGACCAAATTTGCTATTATCACGCCATTAATGGATGAATCATGGTTGTTCTTTCTGGCATAGTTACTTGTGGTCTGTAATTGCAGCATGTAAATTTTGAGCATTTTTGGTCAAGGACTTTTTGAGTTATTTACAAAAAGATTTGAATCGGTTAGTATAGCGCCACCTATGGACGAATCGTGGGCATTCTTTCTGGTATAGTTACTCATGGTCTCTAGTTGCAGTATGCACATTTTGAGCATTTTTGTTCAAGGACTTTTTGAGTTATTCATGAAAAGCTTTGTGGACTGACCAACTGACCAACAGAGTGACCTATAGAGCTGCGGGTCGCTGCTGAAAAGAAAAAGAAAAACAGTATTTTCTGTATCTGAAAATACAAAATACATGTATTTTATTTTGATACATTTTCTGGCACCAGTATTTTGTATTTTATTTTGATATATTTATTTGAGGGGTATTTTGTATTTTATTTTGATACATTCATTTGAGTGGTATTTTGTATTTTGTATCAAAATACATTTTGATGTATTTTTGCCCATCTCTGAGCAGACACATACCCAGCATGTAATATGTAGACATGAAAGCCCTCTGACAAAGCAGAGATATTCGTTGACTAGGGATGAGAACATGTCAGTATTCGATGACCTGCTGGGAATGAGTAGTGGCCGAGCAGTCTCAGAGCTGGAGGTGCAGGGTGTTGCAGAACTCAAATGGGACTTTAGTCTGAGGTGCGCTGCAAGTGATTTGTTTTTTCCCCTTTTGCCCAAATCTAAGATAATTTATTGGTGCTGAGTGCACGTACCTGACAGAAGTGTCTGTTAAACTGTTAAACAAAGACTGCTCACCACCGGAAATTACGTGCACAGAAAGAGGAAGCTCTCAACTGAATTGTGCTGTATTTAGCTTTGTATCAGCCTGGTGCTCAGACAGTCAGCAGCAAGACGCCATGGAGGTTAGAGCACTCTGCATCAGACTGTGTGAGTATTTATTTATTTTTCACAGTTTATTAATCCTACACAAGCTCTGAAGATAAATGACCAAGTGGAACATATCTCTTTTATTCTGTGGTGTTTGCATCTATCTGATTATGTTATTATTATCTTAACTCTCCACTGGTTTGTAATTAGCATGTCATTTTTTAATTTTCAACTTTTTGAGGAAAGATGTCTGTGGAATGATTGTATACATATATATATTTTAGTGATTAAATATTAATTATACAAAATAAAAGCATCCATTTACACAGCTCTCCTCTTTGTCTCTCCAGTGGTGAATGTATTGATGCTGCTGGGTGCACATGTGCAGCAAAGTTATCCTCAGGCAGCTGGTAAGTAGCTATTCATTGTTCCCAACCCTTAAGCCTAACTCTAAAACCCTAACCCTTACACTTTAAGTCAGCTTCAATCTAACACCTGTGCGACAGAAATACCATTGAAAGTTTGTGTTTTGGAAGTTTGTTTGTTTGTTTTTGCCTTTTTCTATAAAAAAAAAAGAGAGAAGAAAAAAATCAACTAATATGCTGATGACACTAAGCTAATGTACTAACCTCGCGACTTGGCCAGTCTCATCACTTTTCCACAGCTAATGACAATAAAATATGAGATATTAACTGATCCCTAGTCAACAAACTGTGGTTTAAAACCTGAGTACAACTGAACAAGTTCAGTAGAGCCACGCTATCTTTGCCTCAGCTGGCTCAGTCAGCCTCAGTCAGTGATAACGGGTACCACGAAGGTGGTTATCAACTTGTTCTATTAACCCAGACTTTCTTCTTCAGGTTCCTATAGAACAAGTCAAGTGGCGCGTTCAGTGACTTAAAAATCATCAATCCATGCCGCCTACTTCCACCCTTGAAGAATTTAAAAAACCAGTAGGCTACATATTGTGTGAATTTATAAGTCAACTTATTTACCACCGCAGCAGATTTAAACTTTATACTTAAGAACTGCTATATGCTGCTCTCTCTCTCTCTCTCTCTCTCTCTCTATATATATATATATATATGCTGACACTGTCCTATAATGAAGAAGTTGTGGAAATCACTTTAGTTTGTGGCTAAATCAACATGAAATGTATTTTACTAGTTGATTAATAGCTATCTGTGACAAATACCGATAGATTAATACATTTTCTAATCTGTATCGCTATTAACTGTAATAAAGCATACAGCTGTGTAGAACAGGCCTCAGCAAATCGGAATGAAGCATAAAAACATAATTCCAAGTGGTAACGTTATGTATATGTGGCAGAAGGCCACATATAGTTTAACAGAATTCTACTGCATTTCATTTACAAGTAAACATCATTGGGATGATAAACAATTAATGTATAATGCCGCCTGTGGTTTTATAGAAGGCTTCTTTTAGAGCCAGCGTTGACAAATGGACCGGACAACACTACCATCACACTCATCACAGTGAGAGCAAGAACAACCCTGTGAATTAAATAAAGGTATATTTTTGCAACACCGATATACTGCAGGGTCCTCTGGCAACCAGGGCATTTTTTTAATTGATAAGATAGTTAAGTGTGAAATGGGGAGAGAGAGAGGGACTGACATGCAGCAAAGGGCCACAGGCTGGGGTCGAACCCGGGCCGCTGCGGCAACAGCCTTGTACATGGGGTGCCTGCTCCACCACTAAGCCACCGACGCCCCCAAGGTACATTTTTTAACTGAACCCTGTTCCTGTGTCCAGGGGGGCAACTAAAGGTGAAAATACCTTTGTCATCAGGGCTCCGCAGCTCCTTGCCTGATTCTTGCTTCTTCTTCTTCTTCAACGTGAAGAACGGGTCACTTCTTCAGACACAAGCATTTTCACCAGAGGTGGAAAAAGTACTGAAAAATTCTACTCAAGTAAAAGTACCTTTACTGTGCTGAAATTCTACTTAAGGCCGCTACAAGAAACTTTTAACTGGATATGCAAAAGTCTCTCGTTTCTGCTGATGTCTGTGCGTGACCTACAACAACAAATGAGACCATCGGTGTGAAGATAAGCTATTTCTATATAGTGTATATCCATACCTTTAGGAAACTGTCTCCGGGTCCGCCCCAGGTCGCTTCCAGGACGAAACGATTTACGGCACTCAGACGGCACACGTCATCTTACCTAGCTGCTTACATTTATAGTGACTCTTATAAATAGTCGCTATTCCTCCTCCTCGACCCGACGTCTGCGGGGAGTTAAAATAGCAGCAATCATTGGGTAAAAGTTCTGTGAAAGCACTGGACTCACCAACAGTCTCAGTCACACAGAGAAAATCCTCGGGAAGTCAGGAAATCCTTCAGGATAAACGTTTTGTTCGCTAGCGATCTAGCATTTACCAGCCCAATCCTGGCAGGAGTTTCCATGACAGTTTGATTGTAAAATGTATATTTCATGCAAATACAGCCTTTCCAAACCCAAATGATGACTTCTTTCCAAACAGAGCTATTCAATTTATTGCAATACATATCGCAGTATACAAAATTGTGGCATTGTCAGTTTTGTCTAATATTGCACAGCCCTCATTCAATTTGACTCACCAACACAACTGTTAGACTGATGATACACAGAGCAACTTTTTGAGCAATGTTGTTGGGCATTATTCTCGGGGATGCAAACATGGTCAAAAAAGAGAGAGCTCGTCGAAGCGAAATTCTGAATATTAAAATACACTAACACTAATTTGGAAGAATACTGTGTATTCCAAAACAGAACAAATCCCTTGAGCAACAGTGTTTCCCCTATATGCAACTAGCAGGTGGTGCTCCGCTGCTGAAATATGACCACCGCTGCTGATTTATTTTTAGTTTTTTTGGTCTTTAGAAACTACCGTTATATTATTTGGTGCTACGGATGCTTCATATCCAGGTCAATTCACACTTGTGAGTAAAGCATATAAGAGGAGAGGAGAGGGCTCCGTCTGATCTCTTCATAAACTAAAGTTATATTATTTTGAGTGACAGACGCTTCATATAATAACATAATATACTATTTATCGTGTTATACGCTAAAACGTTTCACTTTATAACGTGATGACTTATATTGTTTACATGACGGCATGTCATTTCTGTCTCTACATGGTCGCACCTTTACAATCCTCCTCTGCTCTCTGTATCGCGCACGGCGGAGTTTGGCCCCAATGCGCACACACACACACACACACACACACACACACACACACACACACACACACCTTCCACCACACACTTCAAATGTAGCAAAGTACAATACTTAAGTCAAAATGTACTTAAGTAAAAGTAAAATTACAGATTTCAAAAACTACTGAAAAAATTACAAATTACACAAAAAACTACTCAGTTACAGTAACGTAAGTAAATGTAATTAGTTACTTTCCACCTCTGATTTTCACTTACAAATATCCTGACCTTTATTTTTTTACCTTTTGTCTTCTCTGTGTCAAACAACATTCTTGGGTCTTCACCAGACATGTTGCTGTCATATATTTTAGTTGATAATCTCAGGTGTGTCTGATGGAATAGATCACTCACCAACTTGCTTATTTGTTTGTTTCAAATCTTCTTTTTTATGATGCATAAAACATTAAGGTCTGTTGTGTATTGGGGTGTACACATTCTGCTAACTTTCTGCACTGTGACTGAACAGAAGAGTATTCTGTATTTCAGTATGCAATATTCTATTAATTTTCTTTTTTCTTTTTTTTTTAATCATAGTATGCACCTTGTTTCTTTCTGTGAACCAAGTTTATTTATTTTGTGTTTTGTGTGTCTCAGATGCAGCTTTTCGTATCGTTCCAACCAGACTGCAGTTCTTTGAATATGAGTCTCTGCGTTTCAACTGTGAGGGGTTTAATGTCTCAGCTGAAGGCAAAGTGAGGAACACGGATGAAGTTTTTCCAAAATGTTCCAATGGCACAGAGACATCAACAGTGACCTGCACCATTGACCGTGTATTTACATCAGACAGTGGAGAATACTGGTGTGAAGGTGGAGGAGGGAGAAGCAACAGTGTCAACATCACTGTCACTGGTAGGCTGACTGAATGTAGATGTGAACTCTCAAACCACCAGATATTTCCCAAGCCTCGAGTTCTATATTTTTGAACTATTCTGTCTGTTCCACTTCTTAACATTTGGTCATGTTATCCAGCTGGTTCAGTGATCCTGCAGAGTCCTGTCCGTCCTGTGATGGAGGGAGAGTCTGTCACTCTGCGCTGCAGAAACAAGACGTCATCCACCAACTTTGCAGCTGTCTTCTATAGAAATGGCCGCTACACTGGGCACAGCTCTACAGGAGAGATGACCATCCGCAGTGTGTCCAAGTCTGATGAAGGACTCTACAAGTGTTACATCTCTGGAGCTGGAGGATCACCAGAGAGCTGGATGGCTGTCAGAGGTAAATGTAAAGACAAGAAGGCAGGTTAATATGTATTTTTTTTCTGTTGTTTTTAGCACGTTAACTCCACATATGAGTTGTAACCACAAACCCTGCAGGCACAAAACAGTCGGGCTTTCAGACAAATCATTCAGTGTACTGCATACATGAGCAAACTGCTGCATTGTTCAGCGATTCAGTGAGCAATGTGTTTGTGTGGGAGCAGGCAACACTAAACAGGAAACACAGAAATTTAAAAAATATGAACAACTGAATATGTGTTAGTATTTACCATAAATATTGTTATGGTGTTGGTTAGGTGGTGATGTCATCATGGAGAGTCCTGCTCTTCCTTTGACTGAGGGAGAAGCTGTGACTCTGCGCTGTAGAAACAAGAAAATTCCCTCTGACCTCAGAGCTGGTTTCTACAAAGATGGCCTCCTCATCAGGAACAGCTCTACAGGAGAGATGACCATCAGCAGTGTTTCCAAGTCTGATGAAGGACTCTACAAGTGTCACATCTCTGGAGCTGGAGGATCAGTGGAAAGCTGGCTGGCTGTCAGAGGTGAGACCAAAATATGTTTTAAAATAAAATCCTGACATGTTTATTTCCATCCTGTGAAGGGCTTGTTGCAGAGGTCTCTACTCTCAATCAAAAAATATGAAATAAAGTCTCCTCCAAAACAATCCCAGGCACAAAAATTAGATTGCCTTTATTTTAGATGGAATTCATCGTTGTCGTCGTCGTCGTCGTTGTCGTCGTCGTCGTCGTCGTCGTCGTCCTCCGCTTATCCGGGTCCGGGTCGCGGGGGCAGCAGCCTCAGCAAAGAAGCCCAGACAGTCCTCTCCCCAGCCACTTCAGTCAGCTCTTCCGAGGGAAACCCGAGGCGTTCCCAGGCCAGCCGGGAGATGTAATCCCTCCAGCGTGTACTGGGGCGGCCACGAGGTCTCCTCCCGGTTGGACATGCCCGAAACACCTCCCAAGGGAGGCGTCTGGAAGGCATCCTTACCAGATGCCCGAACCACCTCAACTGGCTCCTCTCAATGTGGAGGAGCAGCGGCTCTACTCCGAGTCCCTCCCAGATGTCCGAGCTCCTCACCCTATCTCTAAGGCTGAGCCCAGCCACCCTGCGGAGGAAACTCATTTCGGCCGCTTGTACTCGCGGTCTCGTTCTTTCGGTCACTACCCAGAGCTCGTGACCATAGGTGAGGGTTGGAACCTAGATCGACCGGTAAATCGAGAGCTTCGCTTTCTGGCTAAGCTCCCTCTTCACCACAACGCCGCCCCAGTCCGCCTGTCAATCTCCCGCTCCATCCTACCCTCACTCGTGAACAAGATGCCGAGATACTTAAACTCCTCCACCTGAGGAAGGACCTCCCCCCCCCCACCTGGAGTGGGCAATCCACCCTTTTCCGGCTGAGGACCATGGCCTCAGACTTGGAGGTGCTGATTCTCATCCCAGCCGCTTCACACTCGGCTGCGAACCGCCCCAGCGAGAGCTGGAGGTCACTGTTCGATGGAGCTAGGAGGACCACGTCATCCGCAAAAAAGCGGGGACGAGATCCTCCCATCACCGAACCTGACACCCTCCACCACTCGGCTGCGCCTAGAAATTCTGTCCATAAAAGTTATGAACAGAACCGGTGACAAAGGGCAGCCCTGGCGGAGTCCAACCCTCACCGGGAACAGGCCCGACTTACTGCCAGCCACGCGAACCAGACTCACGCTTCTTCGGTACAGGGACTGGATGGCCACCAGTCTTCAGTCTTAGATGGAATTATAGATTTAAAAAAACAAAACAAAAAACAATGCATTGCAACTCATTGTCTTCATTGGGGTCATTGTCTGCTGTAACTTACACACCTGTGTTATGGTATACTAATGAGATAAGTGAGAGGATGGGCCTTAATGCAACCACCCCTTACATCCTCTTCCTACCCACTTTCACTCCATATCCGTGTTCATGTGGAGGGTCCACCACATTAAGTTCCATCCCAAACCAACTAGTGGGGAGTGAAAGTGAGTTGTAAAACCCTCCAACAGCAAGCCTGCACTGACTTACTGACCATGTGCAACGCCATATTGTGTTCATCATGGAAGACGCCCCGTACAAATAAAGTTATATTACCCTTACTAAAGAAAATGGCTCAAACTAAGATGAAAAGGTGCTTCATTCAGCTATGAGGGTGACAACAAATGCAGTTACACTCCACAACAAAGTGGGAGTGGTCAGGGTCCGGTTTTGGAAAGGCCCAATGACTCTTCTCTAATGCGCAGACCTGTTGGTTAAAAATCAAGGATGTGATACACCAATAGAAAGGAAGGAGCGGGACGGAGAAAGATACAAGAAAGAAGAAAGGTTAGGTTTTAAGAAAATTGAAATAAAATAAATGATTAAAGCCGCTACAAGGAACTTTTAACTGGATATGCAAAAGTCTCTTGTTTCTGCTGATGTCTGTGCGTGACCTACAACAGCAAATGAGACCATCGGTGTGAAGATAAGCTATTTCTATATAGTGTATATCCATACCTTTAGGAAACTGTCTCCGGGTCCGCCCCAGGTCGAAACGATTTACAGCACTCAGACGGCACACGTCATCTTACCTAGCTGCTTACATTTATAGTGACTCTTATAAACAGTCGCTATTCCTCCTCCTCGACCCGACGTCTGCGGGGAGTTAAAATAGCAGCAATCATTGGGTAAAAGTTCTGTGAAAGCACTGGACTCACCAACAGTCAGCCACATCTCAGTCACACAGAGAAAATCCAATCCTCGGGAAGTCAGGAAATCCTTCAGGATAAACGTTTTGTTCGCTAGCGATCTAGCATTTACCGGCCCAATCCTGGCGGTGGTGCTTACGCGGCAGAGGTGGAGCTGGGGCGCGGCAGAGGTGAGCTGGGATCCCCGATAGGAGCGGGGGCAAATTTTTCCCGTCTTGTTGTTTCATTCATCCCCAAAACAAACACATGCGCGAGCCAGGTAAGCGTCTTTACGACAATACGCGCTAGAGCTCATGGGAAATGTAGGCTTCATTCTGGCAAAACAGTACCGCTTTTGTCCACAGGGTCGCCAAAATCAACTCAAAATGAAAGTTCCTTGTAGGGGCTTTAAGCAGAAACAAAGAACTAAGTTAAAAACCTGAGTTTAAATGTAAAGTGCACTGTGCCTTATGCAAAGGTTGCAGCAAGTCAGATTAGGTTATAGCAGTCAGTGAGTGAGGCAGTGTTTGATGCTGTTATTCAGCAGTCTGATGGCCTGTGGGTACAAGCTGTTTGTCAGTCTTGTTGTCCTGCATGTCACACTCTTGTAGCGTCTGCCTGATGGTAGAAGTGTGGTTAACAAACTGTGGTCAACGTTATTGTTAAACATGGTGTTAACTTTGTCAGTTGTGCTGTTTTGTTTTTGGTAATTGCAAAGGACAAACTACTGATACAAACGTTCTCATCTCAAGTCATCACATATCGCTGCTTTGTCATTTGCCTTTCATGGCTATATATTACATACTAGGTATTCTTCTGCATTGGCTGTTGACGTTCATGGACGCCGCAACCAATGCCGGGACGTTAGCGAAAGCACATGGTCTGGTTTAGACAACAAACACATGTGGTTAGGTACAAAAAAACCATCATGGTTTGGCTCTGCATTCATGCAAAGTGAACACTGGCCTCCAGGTTAAGAGTCAGGGGTTTGTTGCACCCATCCACCACCCTCTCACCCACCGTATAGGGACTTTTCAGGTCCTTATATTACATGGTTACCAGCAGCATTTCAACCTGACGCTGTCCGTCTGCATATCATATTACCACGACAGATGCAGTCCAGCTGAACAGCAGCGTATCATAACACTGTGACAGGTTGTGTCTGGCATGTTATAAACTGACACCACCCGTTGGCGCGTCATCAGCGGCTTTTGCCGCTGGTGTCTGACGCCAAAATCACTGACAAAGCAGTGGTATTTGACGACTTCAGAATGACAACATAGCTGCAAAGTGACACCTAGCTCCTGGGGAAACTGCTAATATTCTTTCTATTTTCTTTGCAGCTCAACACGGGGAGGCTTGTGTTTGCTCAGACTTCATTTATGTTCTCCTCGTCTTAAGGACGGTGTTCACCATAGTGATGGTGCCTCTGCTGCTGCTGCTGGTGGGACTGCTGCACCGTGGGAAACTCAGAGTTACACAAAAATAACTCAGGCAAACATAGATAAAGACGCGTACTTACATAGTTTGTTTTGGTTTCAAGGTACTAAAATCATATTAGCAAAAAATGTCTCATCAGATGAAACAGCATAGAAATTATAAATAAATTACTCATTGCTCTTCATAGTTATACGTGTGCAGGCTGTGGTCACTGACTAGCGCATGAGCAGAAAAAGAGATGTGAGACCTATTTTCAAAGGCCTGCTCTGAACTGTGTCCATACATCTTATTCTGGGTTTTATTTAGATGCCACAGACGCAGGTGATAATTTCAGCTTCTCAGACACAGTTCACACGAGAAAAGAACAGACAGAAGATTTAGTGACCATTCAGCGGCTTTGAAGAAACAAATGTTGAAATGATTTTACAGAGAGCTGTACGAGAGAAGCGTCATTACATTTATTTTGGCCCAAGAACATTCTCTCCTTGCCTTGTTGTATATCATCATGCTTCAATACGTTTGATTTAACTTTGTCTATGAAGGCAAAAGGTTGTAAATTAGGTTGCTTTCTTGTACTGCAGAAGCTGTCAATTCATTTTCTGCTCTGTTCAGCCCAGGTCCCTCCGTCCCTGAGGAGAGGCCAGCAGTGATGCACAGCTTGATGTTAGAGGCTGACATTTTGTTGGGACTCCTGTGAGTCATGGGCTTCCTCTGGGATTCCCAGGAGAAGTCAATGCCACTACAGCCTCAGAACCCATTACTATCGACTGATGACAATAAGCTTGTCAGTATTTCAGAGGATTGGTTTTAGCCAGTGGATATCCATGCCAACACTTTCTCTTAATTAAACAGTTATCTGTTTTTGAATGCAGATAAATTAGAAATAAGCCAATAAACGCATCGTCAGACGATAACCACAGGTTCTGGAATTGCATTTCAGCCAATGCGTTCTTCCTTTTTTGCTCTCACTTAATCGTACTTAATGTCATTTTTATCTTGTAAAGTTTTTATACTGTTTTGTTTTATTTTGTATTGTCGTCTGTGTGGAAAGGACAGTGAAAAGTGACTTTGTGCTCCTCATTATGATGTATGATGATAAAGTAGGTATAGCAGAAGATCTGTCATGCACTGTAAATATATTGAGACATAATGGTTCTGAAATAAAGACAATTGATGTTTTTGAATCACACAGTCTGTACACAGTAGTTTTTACTCTTAAAGCTTGTATACAATTTCAACAGCCCAACTCGTCACATACTGCTGCTTTGTCAATTATTTTGGTTTCAGATACTGGTGCACCGAGACACTCTTTGAGGTGGTATGATACGCACCTGGCGGCAGCTATTGCTGACACCACCGCTACTACCATTGTGGGACAAACAAACACTGGACTTTCATCCAGGAGTCCAGTCAAAAGTCAGTGGAGTTATTTTAATAACAACATAGTGTGCCTGAATGAGTAGCATGCAACGCACGTGAAGTGACATTACGTTAGGAAGAACTGTACTTATTTTAAGTCAAACCATGGTTGTTGTTTTTTTGGTAGACCTAATCATATGCTTTTGTTGCCTAAACATAAAGAAATAAACAAAAATGTAGTAGGTTATTTTGAAAAAAAAAAAAGACTGTGTGCATATAATGAGCAGAAACGGTACATTTCCTATTAAATCTGAAGATGGCCGACACAACGTCAAAAACTGACACAGGACGCTACCTAGCGCATCATATTTTCATATTTTGTTGTGACAAAGTTGCTGTATTTGACAAGCTGGGATGAGAAGTCATTGGTTTCAACGTATCTGCTTTATAATAACATACAAATTTAACATAAACGTGCATTGCCAATTTTTATTCTAGAAATTGCATGACGGTATGGTCATGCAGATTGTGGGTATGGCTAAGACAAAATGTAAACATTAATGATGAGAAAATGTGCGTACATACTTGTCTTATGCTGTGTTAATTGTAGGGAACAGAAACAACGAATCAACTTACATTCAAACATCATGTTTTATTTTGAAAAGTATTCAATTTCCACTAAATGTTTTTCTCTAAATGGTAAACAACATCTTATAAAACAATACAGTTTTAATACAGAACACATTCTTTACAAATATTGTTTTAATTCCACTTTATAACAACACAATAATAAAGCAAAACTATCACCCTATTAAAGAATGCTACAAAAACTTCTCCAAAACTTAAATGACAAAATATGTTGCTGGTACAGAGTCAAGGAATTGTTTTGTATAAAGACTCTATTGGTCACATTAAGTTATGATCATAAAGTATTCATCTGAAAATCTAAGAGGAGTCTGCGAAGGATGGATGATGGGTTTTCAGGTTTAAATACAGAGGGTAGATTACTGGAATTCCCTCTGACATGCTCTTCATGTTCAAGCACCTCCATTTCTTAAAAAATCTTTAATCTTTTTTTTTGTATTTTTTTTCCATGGGCACATTTTGTGTTGTATTTGTAAGTAAGTACAAAAAAAAAATAAAAATAAAAAATACCAGCACAGTTTATTATATCAGCGTGCTTGTCCAGCTTCATGGATGGCTGACTATCTTGCTGTCCATCATCTGTTGGTGGTGAAGAAGCAAAAACAAAAAAGACAGTGTTGTGGTTAAAATGAACAAAATTATGACATAAGATGGCCATGATGAAATCATATATTTGGCCGTGTGATGTGACATGATATCAGACCTCTCCCATTGGGCTTGTAAGTGTGACTTTTTCGACAGCGCTCCAGGACTTCTGTTGATCCCAAACTACATCAGTTGGAGGGCTGTGGTTTCCTCCACCATCTGACGCCCAGATCTGTAAAGGTACAGTACAAGCTTGGCGAAGAAACGCAGAGCTTTACATTAAAGTTGCAGAGTTTTATGTTTTAATTCAGTGTATCTCAAGTAAAACTTACTGTAACCATGTTTCCAGCTTCAAGGCTGAACCCCCCAGGAAACTTATAGGAGATGGTACTCCCGTTGACCTCTATGTTGACCTTACAGTTAACCAGCAGTTGGTTCTGAAAGACAACATCGGACCAAGAATACATTTTTGATCATGAAGGATTGCAGCCTAAAGCTAGATCCTGAATCAGCCAGTGTTGGGAAGTGGTCTAAATTCAGACTGCATAGGTTCAGATTGCCAGTTGCTTGGCCTCCAGTATTTCTGCTTGCAACCTTCTCGACAACCCCTCATCCAAATGACTTTACACTTGTCAGTGCACTTCCTTTGGTCCTCAGCAAGGCACTTGTCATGACATAGTTGCGTTCCAGAGCAGTGCTACAGTATACATGTCATCTGGGTGTGAAAATTTCACAAACATTTTACAGCAGTGGCCGTCAAATGGTGGCCCGCGGTCCGGAGCCACCTATTTCCGGAGCGCGAGCCGCTTATTTGCGGACTGCAAGCTGAACACGTGACTCCTTCACTGTGTGTGTGTGTGGTTTGGTCAGCACCTGTAAATGGGCTGTCATCTCCATGCCAACGATGCGCTGATAGGCTGTTTGCTTTTTTTACTTTAGCTTTTGAAGCAGTACGCTCACAAATGAACACTTGCATCAGTGTGTTCCCCTGGCCATCACACCATTTGTGCCAAAGTTCAAAGTCTTGGCAACAGACACAAGATGTCATGCAGTGTTTGACACAATATAAAAAAGTTTTTCATTGCACTCTGATTCCTGAGTTCTTGAGACATTTGTTTACCAAAGGATTCTATGGAGGGGTTGATTTATCGTTAAATTGAAAGGGACATTTTGTTTTATTTTAGCATGTATGTTAATTTTTGAATTCCTGAGATCCTTGATTCACCTTGGTCCTTTGTGTCTACATTGAAAAAGGAAAGGTGTCTCTAACCCCCCTCCTGATATATTTGTTTTAGATTCTTTGCAGGGGTTTTGTTTTGTTTTGTTTTATTTGAGTATTTATTTGAGTTTATGTCAAAATGGAAATGGCATTTTATTTAAATTTTAGTAAGTATTTTGTTGTCTTGAATAAAAAGGACAATTTGTTTTGAATATGACAGTATTATGGCTTGACCAAGGATGGACCTTTGACTCATTGAAAAATGCCTTTGTGGACCTTTAAGATTTGTATTAGAGTACACCTGCTTTACAGCCTTAATTAAGTCAAATCTCAGCTATTTCTGGCGACAAAGGCGTTTATTTCGAAAGTTAGAGGACATCACTGATGCTTGAAATGTTTGACTTTGCCACAATGTGACATCTCTAGTTTCTCTTTCTCTTTTTCTTGAACTCACTGTAGCAGGTGACAGACAGCAAATTGTACCCAGCATGGTGTTTGGAAGTAAGAAAGGGGCTGTAGTGTTTGCTTTTGCTCAAAAGGTAAAACACCTACAAGAATAAACAGCGCTGCACCGAACCAAGAAACACTCCCGTTGGTAGGTGACCAAATTCAAACTCAATTGTTTGACAAAATGACGGCTAACTGGTAACAAGCAATCTCATATAACAGTTAAACAATAAGGTAAACATTTTTCTGGAAACATTTGATGTGAGAAATAGGCAACTCAGTGACAGAATCTTGGTTTATATTTGAGCAGTGCCGCTTAGTTTTACTGTTGATTGCCTCCATTTTCATTATGCAGGACACAGTAGGCTATGGTGCCCATTTCCTGTTCACAAACTCTCACTATTAGAGCTAATCAGGGCACTAAAATGTGTTTCTGAAAACATTTTAGGCAAGAAATAAGCACTGCCTAATTTCACCAGTTTGTTCTGAGTGTGAGAGACAGAGAGAGAGAGGAGTGGGTCACTTGATCCATTTTATACTCTTCATGTCTATGGTGGCAGCATGAGTGACAGGCAATACGATAACGCATAGGCACAGCCTGCAATTTGAGCAATAGGCATCAAAATGCCATCGAATACATGTCATCTAGCAATGTTTGACTAGTCGGGGAGCAGGGAGATCTAGGCAATGGTTAGATGGAGGAATGTTCACCATAGTTCATGCACATGTACAACCCACATTATTATGATTCAAAGCTGGTGGAAAATTTGTGTCATGTGTACTTCTAATGGTAGAAACACACTACTAAAAAATCGTAGTCCCTGTGGCACTGAGGACAAGTGTGAAGTTGATTGGACGAACAGATGTCGATGAAATTGAAGAACAGACAGACAGATTCTCCTTCCATTATATACTTATATATTTCAAATGGTTCTCGCATGCATACATTAACATTACCTCACTGGACTTGTTTCTGAGACGAACAAATTTGCCACCCTGGTCGACCTCGTCAAAAATGACACGGCTATTGGTTGCTATCTCCTGGCTGTCAGGGCTGGGTTTCTGATGGAGGGGACAGGCAAAATACACAGTTACTGAGCCACAGCACCAAGAGGAGGTAAAGTGGTGGTGAAAAATCAATTTGCAGATGGAAACAAGAGATGAACACAAACTGTGGCAAACACATACCTGCTCAAGCTGAAATTGTTTCCCTTCCTTCAGTGGAGAAACCTATTTACAGTTCAAAGCAGTATTTCACTCATGGTTTATTGTAAACAATTAAAATATGTCTGGTGTTACTGGAAGCAAATTACTGGACCTCCTATTGTCCACATGGCAAATCCAAAGCCTGTTGTGTTGCTTTGTTTTTAAGTAGATACACATTCTGGTGAAATAAGTGAAACCACTGGAGTCTCTAGTCTCTAGTTTAGAAATTGGTCAGTCTAATATGTGACACATAGTGATGGTGTCGTTTCAGGAAATGTCTCTACTGTCTAAAACATACTGTAGTTGCGTTTGAGAGACTTGCAAGTTAAATAATTTGCTTTGCATTGTATCTGACCAGACCTTTACCAAGTAGTTATTTTAATCCAAACCATGAAGTTTCCATAACCCTAAGCCAAGTTGTGTTATTTTTTAAACAGTCAATAGGAGCATAACATCCAGCCTGTTCTCATTCCAAGGGCATCAAATACTGCCGCTTTGTCACGGCCCTCAGTTTGTGATATCAGCGCCAAAGGCACCTCTTACTGTCTTTATAAGACACACCGAGCTGTCAAGTAACTTCACTGTAAACTCATCCACAGCAATACTTGACGCTGAAAGCAACTGACATAGTATAAAGAGCAAGAAAGTCTGTGTAAGGTTGGAGGGAGTGAGGATGGGTGGGTCAAACAAAACCAGACATTTATGCAGGAGACCACAGTTCATGTGCATTGTGTCTCATTATACCATTTACTTATGGTTGTTGCGCTCTGTCGTCACTCACAAAACAGACTTGCTCAACAGTACGTAACAAACACACTTATTTTAACCCAAAACATGATATTGTTGCTAAACCTAACCGAGCAGTTTTGTAGCCTAAACCTAACTGTGACTGATCCACAACACTGACCACTTGTTACAGTGTGTTTCAGCTGTGTGTCCACTGTGTTAGCATTCTGTTGTCATGAACCTCTGCTTTGTCAGGGATTTCGGTGTCACGCTGCGCTGGTTATCCGCAGCATGCTCCGCCGTCCGTCAACACCCACCGGCTGCGTTTGCTGTGCGGAGCAGTGCAGCTCCGCCGGACAGCGGGAGTCACGAGGACCCACGAGATCTCACGAATTCACGAATAATCGCGCAATATAACAAGATGTAGTTTCTATAAACAGAACCACAAAACCAGAGGAGTAGTAGGAAGACATCTGGGTGCACCTCCATGATTAACATCTCCTCGTCCATGGTGTCAACGGGGTGAAATGACGTCTGAAAACCTCTGACCTGTTGACTTCAGGCCTGCCTCCACCCATTATGAAGTTTTCAAGGTGTAGTGCAGGGAAATATGAACAGCCGTGAACACTGTGTATTTTATTTTGAAAATTAACCGGATGTTTTATTTTGGTTCTGTGCACGACTTCCTGCCCCGCATGATCTGCTCTGTGCTGACTTGCTGCATTGTGCTCCGGCGTCCGGCAAAAATAGAAGTCCTGCTATCTGTTGCGGAGGGCTCCGGAGCGCCGCAGCTGAGACGGAGCCGGAACGCAGCACAGCCGCAGCCGGTGGAAACACACACATTGACTAGAATTGAAACGTATCGGCTCCACTGCCGTTCTGGAGCGCAGGCGCAACCAACATGCATCTGGTGGAATTTGGGGGTCAGACACCGATGCCCAAAGCTACCTTTAGCAGCGGTATGATACACTACCAGGTGGCGTCAGGTTGTAACTTGGCCAGATGGAACCTTTTACGATGTTAAGATATGCCTCCAATCGGCCGGACAGCGCCTGTCACAGCAGTATGAGATACGGATAGATGGCACTGGTTGTGGTGCTATGATACGCTGCTGGTAATAACATATCATAAGGAGCTGGAAGGTCTCTAGGGTTTGTGGGGTTTGTGGATGGGTCCGACAAACCCCAGACATTCACCTGGGAGGCTGCTGTTTGCTTCAAACATGAATGTAAAGCCAAACCATGATGCTTTTCTCTAAAGCTAAAGCGCATATTGACATTCTGTCCCACAAATAAACAGCAGACACAGAAGGATACCTCGCACATAATATGTAGACATGAAAGTCCACAACAAAGCATCGATATGTGAAGATTTGGGATGAGAACGTTTTGGTGTGTCACATAGAATCGCCAAACCCCTTTGCGTCAGTACGAGACGCCAAGGGGCATGACAAAGCATTGGTATTTGATAAACTGATAATGAGATCAGGTCGATCAAGTCAGAAAATGCATCCACAACTTGTTTATCCTTAAACAAGTTGTGGCATATTTTTTGAGAAAATATCAATGAGAAACGCATGGTTATTGTCATTTATAACTCTTTAAAACAATAACTATAAAAAAAAGTCTTCATTCGTTACTTACATGTGTGGTCCCCTTTTCTCTTGACCCCATGTCCTGAGCCTTGTTGTGCTCCGTCTTTGATTTAAGAAGTGGGTCACTTTGAGACTGACCCTCAGTGTTGTTACTTTGAGATGTGTTCTTTTCTCCTTCAGTTTTTTGCTCTTTGCTCCTTTCAATCTCTGTTTGAAACCAATGGTAGAATTATAGTTCAGAACACAGCTGATTGTGTAAACGTAAGATGCAGACATGCAATACTATGTTGTTGTTTTTTCAGTTTCCAATGTGTCTCCAATCTCACAGAAATTTCTTTAAACACTTCTGAATAAACTCACATAAAACTAATAAGGTTCCATGTTTGAACACCTAAAGAGTCGGCTCATTTTTTGCTCACCTTTTTTGTTTTGTCTCCATTTCCAGACAAAAAAGACAACCATGAAAACAAACAGGAGGCCAAACAACACACTAGTGGCAATAGAAGCAGTACAGCTGGTAGGAAGGAAGAAATCCTCTGAAATCATGAAGGAGAGGAAAACACTTATTGAAAACTAAAAGATGAGAAAACATAAGGTGTGTGTTTCTGTCATGAACTGGAAGCTGATTCTTAGAAATGATTCTACCTGGAACCTGGATGTGTGTCTCTGTGGTCTGGTTGATGTTCCTCTGTTGGACTCTACAGGTGAAGCTGTTGCTGTGTCTCTTCTCCACAGTCACTCTGCTGCTGACAGTATAGAGGTCATCAGGACCTCTGACTGTCTCTGTAGGTCCAGCAGAGAGGAGCTTTCCCTCACCGTCCAGCCACAACACCTCAGGCTCTGGATACCAGCCTGCAGACTCACACTGTAACACCACTCAACAATTGTCTCTGTCGATCCCTGCTAAAGTTATGACCGGTGAAGAAACGGCACCTTGTGATGAGAAAGTTATGAGATTAATATCCTTTTGTCGTGCTGCATATTTAAAAATGTTGATGGTGAATGCATTTTGATGAGGACACTGATGCTCATCTTTCAAAACTCACAAAGTCTGACTTACCAACACTGATCTGGATAAAAGCTTCTTTACGTAATGAGGGAAGGAAGCATTTGTATTTTCCTGCATCAGAGATTTTCACTCTGAGGAGTTTCAGGGAGACGTTTCCGTTGATCAGCTGATCCACAAACAGCGCAGTGCGGTAATTATACAGCGGATTCTGACTCTGATGCACCAGTCGTCCATCTTGGTGAACATGGACGTATTCTGGGTCCAAACCAGGTCTGGTCCACTCTACTGTCCTGGAACTGGCACTGGTGGGAGGATCAAGGCGACATGGTAGAATGACATCATCACCAGCCAGGGCTACGATTGGTTGAGGTGAACAAATTAGGTTCGACTGCCCTGTAAAGAGAAGAAACAACCTGGGTGCTAATGGATGGCCTCACCATGTGTGTGTGCAATGTTATACACCAGTGGATCTTCTGTGGGAGGCCAGATTCATGCTGGCAAAACAGATTATTTTGCCCTGCTTTAAAGTGCTCAAGCAAAACGTCAAGCTACATGAGGTAATGTTAATGTTAATCACAGTTAGCCTATGCTAGCATGTAGCAGGAAGGGAGAAAAGAAAAGAGCAGCCCTTTTCACCCTGACAGGACATGAAGTAGAAATAAACGAGACACACCTGTGAGCTAGGGGAGGGGGAACAAAACCAGGAGACTACTGAAGGTTTTAAGCTGCTAGGTGGAAGAGAGCAGTGATGTGCATAAAGTAATCAGAGTGAGTAACTACGTGCTGCTTGAAGTGTTTTGATCCCTGCAGCCGGTTTGTTCTGCTGTCTCTTTGAGCTGCTCAGGTGTAGCTGTGGACTTTGTTGGACCCACACAAAGAAGTTAAGATAAGTCTACAGCTCTCCAGGCTCCTCATAGTATCCTACCTCAGGTTAACGTGCATTACTTTATCTTCAACTCTTCAACCTGGCACTACCTCTTACTCTGCTCACTGCCTCCTTTTACATTGTTTATTTAAAGGGAATTTTGTTGGTTACAAAACATTGAACAAATATTATGATATGATTTTTTTTAAATCACTAAAGAGAGCTGCGTAGACGTGTTAGTTAGTTGTTAGTCTCTATATACAGACTCTACATTCAGTGAATGTAGAGTCTGTAGGCAAACCCCGGAGATCTTGCCTCCGGATGAAGAGCGGAAGAGCCCTGGTTTCAGGTTGTAGGCTGTTTGTAGTCCGCGTGATATTGACCAATCATGTTTGAGCCGGCTGCAGTTGTTGCCAGATTAAACGCTCCGTGCAGTGAACTAATGAGGCGGAACATTATTGGCGTCACTGCAAACTCTGAATCCATTGTGCCAACAGAAATTCGCCTCCTCCGCCCAAATCAAACCGGAATGCCAAAAAATCGGGGGTCTGCCCCCAGAGGCTGTATCGCCGTCTGCCGGAAGTCAGACATCGAATACAGCCGATGGGTTCCGACAATGGTTGGTTGCAGACTTAGCAAATCTCCATTGGGGACTACTAGCAATTTAAAGGGTACCCTCAGTATTTTTCAACCTGGACAACATTTTCTCATGTTTATCTTTCCAAGTGACTAATGGCAACAATAGTTTTTGAAACTGGTCCAGTGTTGAGTGAGAGCACTACAGCTGGCAGCAGCAAAACAGGCTGCAATGTAACCATTTGGGGCAATTGTGCATCACCAATTAACGTCCACTCAAAGTGCTAGTTTCAGCCACTGAGTGTGTCTGACAACATTATGGACAGGATAACTACACAGATAGACCTTTTTGTTTAAACAGTCTTGAAATCACCATCGCCAAATCCACCAGACTCCATTTAACATAACAGTAATTTAATCATCGTAGAACACACTTCATTCAAAGTCCACAAAAAAAAAAATCCAAAGCCGTGTTGATTCGTCTTTCTACTGTTGCAACGATCAACAACTCTGGTTTGGTTGAAATAAAACCTTATTCACCCAGTTAGATGTGAAAATGCCGGCTTTATATACACTAACATTACTGCTTATTTAAATGTCTGGTGGCGTTGGCGATTTCAGGGCTGTTTCAGGTCGTACAGAAAGGATTTTCTCTTTTAAACAAAGAGTCTGTCTCTGTAAGGATCCTTTCCGTAATGTTGTTAAACACTTAAAACAGTCTGAGCTTGTCAGTGATAAAAACAGTTTTTCATGGACATATATTGAGGGTGCACAAATGCCATAAGTAATTACAATGCAGCCTGTTTCACTGCTGCCGGCTACAGCCCTCTCACTCAATACTGGACCAGTTTTGACCAGTTTTGACTACAAAAATTACATACAAATACAAATACAATATTATTGTTCCCGTTGGTCACGTGGACACAAACATGTGAGAAAACAGTTGTCTTCACGCTAAGGAAAGGTATTTTGTGAATTCCAGTTTTAAAATCTACAAGAAAGTCAGTCAATTACAGCCCAGCTGCCAGAAGAAAATTTTCGGCATTTCTGTAAATCATGGATATCAGTGTTTCTTAAGTGACGTAATATATGAGTTGACTTTGTCATTAGGAGGTGGAAGGGATGGTGAATGGCATAACACCTAAATAAGACACCTGCCAAGCTGCAGATTGTAGTAAGAGAACCAACAAAGAATAAAATCTTGGCAGGAAACAAGGCATCGCTCTTGTTTCCTGCCAAGATAGTGCCATGAAAACTGATTGTCTTTACCAAGACATCAAATTTCCTGCCAGGAGAGTGCCATCGACGTCTTCTTCAGCCATTATTGTGCCACCAAAACAAGGTAACATGCCAAAATTTTCCTTGAGATTGTCTTGAGAACAGACTAAAATTTATATAGTTATTGTTGAGATTGCAATAGACTAAGAGGCTAGATAGTTGCTATTTTGGCAGATCTATCAAACCACCTGTTACCAACCAGATGCTCTTATCAGCTGCAGATCGCTGGTTGTAAAATATGAATATGGTGATTATTTTTTTCAAAATCTTAAGTTGTTGTGAAAGAATTACTTTAATTACTGTTTATTATTCTTACTGGTCTCCTAAAACTATACACTGTATAAACACATGACTTAGTTCCTGAGCATGTATGAATGCAGTGAGTCAGGTTACCTGTGGTTACTGGGAGGCTGCAGAGGACAAACAGCCAAAATCCAAACCAGATGAATGGACGCATTTTCATCTGTGAACTAAAGAAACAAATCAGGCTGCTGAGACTCAGACAGGTCACTTTAGTTTCAGCTTTGTTGTGAGGGAGGAATTCTGGCTGTTAACAGTCTGTACATGGAGTACTAACTTTAATCACATTGAAGCAGCATCACATTCGTCACATTCTCTTGTAGTCAAATCATACAATACTGAAACAGGTGATATCTATTTATTCTGGTTGTTTACATATTTACAGTTAATGTTCCTAAGTCAGGTCACTTAATTCAGTTACAGAAAACGCAGGAGCCTCCATGATCCAAGATGTCTGTCTGCTTACACTTTCCTACATAATTGCTGCTGCAGTGCTACACATTTATTTTCAGGGCAAAAAGCAGTAAAAACAAACTGTAATAACAAAACACGAGCCTCAGAAAAGTATCAGGTAATTATTTAGTTACTAAGAGAACATATAAAATTGTGAGTCAAAAGTAATGTTGAAGTCATCTTACCTTGAAGCAAAGCTACACGTTGTTTGTTGTCAGATTGGACTTTGGCCGATTTTGGAGTGTATGATTTTATTGTGATGGGCGGGCTACTGGTTTTACATTACAGAAACATTTCCTCATACGAACACTTCGACCAACTGCTGCAATGAGGAGTGTCTTTGCTGCACAGGCTGCAGTGTGTTAATGATTTAGAGCACTTCAGTCTCTTAAACACTTTGGTTCACTTTATTTTGACTTTTTGTTTATTTCCAATAAACAAACTACAACTTTAGCAAATCTAATACACAAAGGTTTGTGAATTAATATGTTTATTTGAATACAACGTGAACATCAAGGGGGAAAACACTTCAAGAGAACATTTGCAGCATTTAAGCATTTTCTATGTCCCCGATTTTTGACTGTTCACTCAGCCCTATAAAGTAAAACAGACTCCACACTGGACTTATTTGAATGTGTTCATCTTTTATATGGAAAACCTGCCAGCAGAATGTTTGTGTATAAAATACAGAGAAATATATATTCTAAAATCGTTATGTTTCCTACGTTTAAAGTAGCCTGCTGTTATGTTTCACTCTCTGTCTAATGATCTGATGTTTGGTGATTTGTCAGTCAGATAGAATTTGAGTAAACCAGGCAGAGTGCTGCTATATGTACATGTTGGTGCATTTATTATTTGAATATATTTTTATGGTGAGTATAAAGTTTATTAATAAATTGCAACTGTTTTATTCTCACTACAGCTCTATTGGTGTTAACTGAAATGCAAAAGTAATTTAACCAATAAAAACATGTGAAAATGCCAAACAAACATATCTTTATTAAAAACAGACACATATTCAAGAATAAAAAAAACTACAATATTCAATAAAAACATCTACAGGTACAAACATTTAATGATACCAAGTTAAAAACTATAACCACAATATTTTAACTGCAATGTTTTTCCTGTTTGCATTTTTCATTTCCATGTGTCCTGTCGTTTTACTTCACTGCTGGTTTTAATTAAGAGCTCTAATAAAATGCAGAAATCAGTACACATTGTACAGTCATATGAGCTCTGTAGGTTATTTAATATACATTATGTAAGTACACCCACAAAATAAAAGTCTAAAGGTCGAATTACACATGTTCCACTGGGAGGGAGCATCATGTAAAATATATTTAAAAAGACACATAAGCTGATTATGTTATTACAATATATTTGAAAGAATAAAAAACATGATACCTAAGACAAAAACACAATATTAGATACATATGTCTGATTTAGCTTTACTTTGGCCAGTTCATTCAGAATCTGTGTTTGTGTCGCCGGATGAATGTCAGTCCAATATTTTCTCTCTTTCAGCTGTTTTTGGTCTCCTCCAGTTCCTGAATATCTGTCTCTTTAGCTGCTGAATGCTTCATTGTGTTCACCAGCCAGTCTTTAAGTGTGTCTGTCTGCGTTTTGCTGCCAAGCAGGAAGGAAAAGAATCATGGTTGGCTGTATTCACACGACATGCTCAACATTAAGTCATGTACTTATCATAAAGTTACAAAGGTTAGGTTGAGCAAAAAACACATATTTTGGCATCGTCATGTTATTCACTTAACAAAGTGACAATGTACCTTAAAATAACTCAAAGTTCACTTGGTTTCTCACAGAGCTCAATCACCGACCTCCTGGGTGAAAGTCATGTCTTTGTTTGACCCATTCACTGCCTCAACCTGCCTTGTAATTCCTCTTTTTTATTACCATCAGCACATTCATCAAGTGACTACAGCCTTCATGATTATTTGGGTGAACTTGCTCCGTGCTGTTGTCTAACTGTCCTCCCTTTCCTCCATTTTCTTCCCTGTAATTCTTATATAGTGATCTATTGTCCTTTTCATTAGATTTTCTGTGTCCATGTTCAGTTGTTGGAGTTCTTTCTTCCTCTCCTCCAGGCTCCAGCTGTTCTCTGTGATGATTTCTTTGAGTTTTGAATATCCCTGAGCTTTTTTAGCTGTTCTATCTCCCTCCTTCTCTGTTACTTCTTTCTCCACTGAATCAACCCTGTCTTCATTCTCCTTCGCTCGTCTCGCTGCCTTCTCCATTTGGTCAGTGAGTTTAACTTTCTGCTTCTCCAGTTCATTCTTCAGCTCACTCAGTGTATCAGTAACCTGTGTCATAGTTTTCAGTTCTTCCTCTTTCTTCTGTAACTGATCCTTCATGTTCTTGATTTCTGCCAAAAGCTGCTCTTTGCTTCTTCTTTCCATCAGAAGCTGCTGCCCTGCGTTCTCCTCTCCGTCTCTCTCCTCTGTTTTTCTCTCAAGTTGTGTCTTGGAACCTGTGTAGAAACAGAAACAGTGTTACAGAGTACTTTTAGAATAAAGCATGAAACTACATTAGACACAGGACCCAAACAGAGTTTGTTGACAGTAGAAACATTATTTCATTTAAATTATAGCAAATAACATCTTCACTGCATTCATTTCAAAATTAAAAAAAAAAGGACATCAGTCCTTCCTTCCTGTCAGAAAGCAAAAACAGATCAATATGTAGCACTACTTAGTTTTTTACCCATATAACATGCTTTGAGAATACATTTTGAATAATAGAATTTGAAATTTAAACATTGTTTAGTTAGTGATGTTTTGGGTCAAACTGTCATTAATTTATGGCCAAATTTTGCAAAAGGTCACAGCACTTGTTGGAACTGGTGGCGCCCCCTATCAAGCAATTTCAAAATAATTTTACACATGTAAAACATCATTAACATTAACAACAGTATTATTTAACATACCCTGCACGTTTTGGAGTGATTGGACAAACAATTTCTGATTTATAGTCTAATTTGTGTTAAACCATGCAGTTTTTTCATTTGTGGTGCCCCCTACCAGTCGATCTGATTAAAACATTTAGGGTATGTTGCTAGTACTTACGTAGATATTTCATTTCCAGCAAGTGTCATAATGATTGGAGTAACCATTAAGGAGTTAGGTCTATTTGCAATGAGATATCTACAAGGTTTTTATGAGTATTGATAACCTTTATCAAATGATGGTCCACAGAAAATTTGGTATAAATAAGAGACACAGTTTAGGAGGAGATGTCAAAAATGTGTTGACGGACCTTAATTGTTTTTTAGGCTTTTTGTGGAACACACTGATCCAGACTTGTGTGTCAAATTTGGTCAAAGTTAATCAGAGTAACAGTATGAGAGGTGTGGCCTTCCCAAAATTAAACATTTGGGCCTTAATTGTAGCACCTCCAACTGGCCAACTGGCGTCATCATTGTTGAGATGCATTTGCACTAGGGATGTAACGATTACCGATATTACAGTAAATTTCGGTTAATTTTTACACAGTAATTACCGTTTATGTTTAAATTAATTGCATTATCGCGGTGAATTATCAGGACATGTAATAACAGCCTCATTCAAGTCTCGCGATGCAGGCGCTGAGTGAATGCGTAGCATGTGTAAACACAGAGAATGAAAACATGGCGGAAGCGGCACTCAGGACAGCTGGTGGAGGACAACTATCCTGTGTGCAGAACATGCAAAAAGAAAATTGCTGCGAAGGGTAGCAACACTACAAATCTGCTGGCTCATCTCCGTGACCGTCATCCACAGCTTTACAGCCAATGCAAGTTATGCTATGCAAACGTCAGTTATTGTGTGAGGGACTTTGGTTTTACTGAGATTGTCATAATGTGTAACTCTCGACGTATGCGGGACATTTGAGCCCTATCTGTCCTCCTAAACGGCGACGAGGTTTTCCGTTTTCGTATAAGACACTTAGGAGCTAATACTAGCTGATTAGCTAATAGCCGTATTAGCAGCTATGTTGCTAATGTTAAGTGTTTCAAAACGAAACGGAGCTGAAAACACTGAGCGGAGCCGACAGAATATAAACCGATGTAACGTAACGCTAATTGAGATCAACTATGATTGAATCACTGTGATTATGGTTATTGTATGGTGAGCTAGAATCGATATAGACGGCCAGTTATGCTTTCTCGACATAAGCTCAAGGAAACAACATAAAACGCTGCCGTGTTAACCTTTAACCGAGAGCATGCACTCCTTTTCTCATAACTTACAGGTAATCCTCTGACTCACATGCACACTTCTAATGTGTGAATTATTCTGTGTAATGATGACCATTGCCCTTAGGGTTTTTTGTTTTCTCCTGCACATTTGTGATATCTCTTCTACATATTGTATGTTTTTTGTTCTACTCGTGCATTGTTTTGTTTTATATATATTTTTCCTCTCGTGCTAATAAATAAATAATTAATATATAAATTGTTTACATATTTTGCTGACTGTTAAAATGCACCAGACAAATAAGCTTTGCTCCTGTAATGTGTTTACATATTTTGTTAATTTAAAATAAAATTTTCTGTTGCTGTGCCAATCCCTTGCCCCTTTAATGTGAAAGTTTCATTTTAATATAAGATTTAATATAAGATGTTGGCTGTTAACATTTTGGCATGATAAGGAAGTTACAAGATTTAGTGAAGTTATTTCAATGTATCTATTTTTTGGACATTTTACAGCGCTTAAACAAATATCGCAATATTATCGTTTACCGTGATAATTTGGTCACTATAATCGAGATATCAAATTTTCCATATCGTTACATCCCTAATTTGCACACAACTTCCAATCATTAGTAAACATTTCATGTGTCTGCAATGCGCCATCTCACAGAAATTTGCTAAAACATTTCTGAATAAACTCACATAAAAACAATAAGGTTCCATGATTGAACACCTAAAAAGTCAGCCCATTTTTTGCTTACCTTTTTTGTTTTGTCTCCATTTCCAGACAAAAAGGACAACTGTGAGAACAAACATGAGGCCAAACAACACGCTAGTAACAGTAGAAGCAGTACAGCTGGTTTGAGCCATGAAGAAATCCTCTGAAATCATGAAAGACAGAAAAACACTTATCAGCAACTAAAAGACAAAAATACATAAGGTGTGTGTGTCTGTCATGAACTGGAAGCTGAATGCTAGAAATGATTCTACCTGGAACCTGGATGTGTGTCTCTCTGGTCTGGTTGATGTTCCTCTGTTGGACTCTACAGGTGAAGCTGTTGCTGTGTCTCTTCTCCACAGTCACTCTGCTGCTGACAGTATAGAGGTCATCAGGACCTCTGACTGTCTCTGTAGGTCCAGCAGAGAGGAGCTTTCCCTCACCGTCCAGCCACAACACCTCAGGCTCTGGATACCAGCCTGCAGACTCACACTGTAACACCACTCCTCTGGTGGCTTTATCAATCCCTGCTAAAGTGGTGACAGGTGAGGAGATGGCACCTGACGGGGTGAGAGAGGAGAAATTTCAGTCAGAATTTATTGGTCTAATCTTCAAATGAAATGTACAGCACCGCTTCTACCTCAAGCATCACATCAGTGTCCACACTGTACACATTTAAGGCACTTTGTCCACCAAGCTATAAAAGTTCCATAAGTAGTGCATGTCATCAGTTTACTTACCAACAAGAAGCTCAACAAAATATTCTTTGCTCAGTTTTGGGATGTAGCATCTGTATTTCCCGTTATCAGAGATCCTCACTTTGGACAGATTCAGTGAAATGTCTCCGTGCTTCAGTTTGTCGACCGACAGTGACACTCTTCCCTTGTAGGCCTTGTTTTGGTCGGAGAGAAGTTCCTGACCGTCATGCCACACATGGACAAATCTGGGGACCAGGTCGAGTCTCGCCCACTCCACTATCATGGAAACTGCATCCATGGGAGGTTCCAGCTGGCATGGCAAAACGACATCATCACCAACCATCACCATGACAGCCTGAGGTGGACTGATCTCCTGAGACTGACCTGGAAAACAGAGGGTCTGTATTTTAAATTCACTTTCCCCAGTATTCACCATAGACATGAACTCTTGATCGCAGCTTCTGCTGCATCTCCAGAGTTTAACCTACAAAAAGTTTGCATGTGCAGCAAAACTGTTTCAGAGGCAGAAATAAAAAATGTGATTCATTTACTGGAGGCAAAATCACACAATGACGTAATATAAGTGTAATGTAATGAAGCTTCTGGGACCTAAAATGCTGATCAAAGTCCTTTTAACACAATCTGATCCAAAACAATGCATGCTGATAAATGCTTCAACAAGGACACCACGTTATTCTTTCTGAAGTGATGAATTTCAACACATGACAGGTCAAACAACTAACACATAAAAGACTGGCCCCTTAAATATTTTTTCGTCATAGTCTCGTTACTTTTTATGCATGGAGTAAAACTTTTGCTAATGTGGGCCGACTAGAGCTAACTGTGCTAATAAATGTCCAAACTACAACCAACAGATGCTCAATGATTGACCTGTTCTTGTTTTGTTTTGAACCTTTTATTTTAGTTTGACTGATTTGATCGCGGTGAGTTTGGTGAACACTGGGGTGGAAAGTATTATTCATGTTTAATATTATATTTATTGATTTAAAAAATACACATATATAAGTAAGAAGGGCTACGACTTGATAAATATTCACTTCTTCCTACTGTTTAACATTGTTTAGCTGCTAGCCACTGGCTCAGCTGCCTTCATGTTGAGAACCATGTGGGGACAGCTCATGAGCAGTGTGTGTGTGTGTGTGTGTGTGTGTGTGTGTGTGAGTTACCTTCACACAGGTGTGTTAGGAGAAGGAGGACAGCGATGTGTTGGAAAACACTGACTGTTCTGAGAAGTCCATCCTGAGAGTGAACCATCCTGGAGAGCTAAAAATTCAAATACACTTTAATGAAGTATTAAACAGTGGAAACAAAAGGTTTAATATTATTTTATGATGTAAACAAGATTAACTTTGCAGCATAATGCGTGTATAAATATTTAAGTGTGCATCATCTACGATATCATGCAATAACACTGGTAACCTAATTTCAGATTTGCCTGTCACAGCTTTAATTTGAAGTCCCATTCAGAATGTATTAACATTCCAGGAGGCGGTGGGGAATAAAATATCCATTTTTAATTTTCTTCATTATCAAAATAATCCAGTTGTGTGTAAATATATGGGTACACCGCAGACAGGAACTGCTAATGGGTCATTTTGCACTCTTTTAGTGGTGCTGATTTGGCAAAATGTAAAGAAATAGGATAAAACTGGGAGAAGAGACGACAACCTGCTTTAATTCCTTCTGTTGTCATGTTGGCTACAGATAGGCCTATACGTGTGATGTCTGCTAATCTGCACAGAAACATGCAATTGTTTACTTATTTTTTTACCTCTGCTAATTTCATGTAAAAGTCAAATTTCACACATGAAAACATATGAGGTAAAAAGTGTAAGGACAAGCATCTATATGCGGGAAAAACTCAGGGATCAATTTTAAAATGGCCGTCACTCTGCGTGAGATGTGAGGACCAGCTTGCTGAAAATCAGTTGGTAATAGCAGCTGGAAATATTTCTCTGGAGGGGGTGACCAATTACCCAAAATATGCACTCTGTACAAAATTAAAATAAATGTCCAGCGCCAGTAATGTTAAAATCACCTCTCCTAATGACACAAATCCAGTCTGAATGTGGTTTACGGCTACGATCAAGTGTTTGCATACCAGCCTGTCAGTTAGTCGGCTGTGACGGAAGACCTGCTTTCTTTCTCTACATACATGAATACAATTATTCATGTGTTGTTATAAACTTCACTGAAAGCATGATAGCCACTTGAACAAAAAAATAGAATTAAACTTTGAAAATCAGACATACCTGTTGTTGCGTTTCACCTCACCTCCGGTAACTGCAGAAAAAGTCCTCTCATAAAATGATGTGTACTTTGGTATCATAAGGTGAGGTGTGTTCACTTTTATGGCAGCATTTACATGCAGGTGCGCATGAAAGTCCAGTAAACGACAGCACTTTTTTTGTACCAGTTGGATTTAAAGAAACATCAGTGGACACTAGAGCTCTCCTCCAAACCACAACTAAATAATTACAAACCAAAATTTAACTGAACCTTGTCCAGAGCTATAGAAAATAAGCTATAAGTTTTTCCTTTACAGTATTGTGGAAAGCAAACTGTAATACAATGCAGAGAGCATCAGATGTGAGGTCAGAGTTTACAACCTGCTCACTGATTTATTGCACTATATCGATCAACACTGACTGATTAATATTTAAGCTCAGGCTACTGCCACAGTAAAATGGAGTTGAAGTCTGCTCTGTTTAGCACACAACACTTTCTGATAATAACTGGAGTTAGTTTTCATTCACAAGATGGAGGCTTGTTCAGAATGTTCACCACCTGCTCAAGCAGCAGCCTGGTCCTGTTTTTGTTAGAGGAGGAAACCAAGTCAAGTCAAGTCAACTTTATTTATAGAGCACATTTAAAAACAACAAACCAAAGTGCTTTACAATGGATACAAATTATACACAACAAGAAAATAATCGACCAAGACAGTAGAGTTTGCCTTGAGTAAATTCAATGAAAAAGATGAGTAACAAACATGTTCTCATGATGAATCACCAAAAGCTAAGGCAAAGAGATGGGTTTTTAGCCGGGTTTTGAATATATTTAAAGAGGGTGAAGATCTAACTGTTTGTGGCAGGCTGTTCCACAGTTTTGGACCAGTAACTGAGAAAGCTCTGTCACCTCTGTTTTTTAACTTTGTAAGTGGGATAGAAAGCAATGATTTGTCAGTGGATCTGAGGGGACGAGAGGTGGAATAGGGAGTGAGGTGTTCTGAAATAATCTGGTGCTGGTCCATGCAGTGCTTTAAAAACAAATAAAAGAGTCTTAAAATCAATCCTATACTTTACAGGTAACCAGTGAAGCGAGGCCAATATAGGGGAAATGTGATCACTTCTAATGAGTAATGAGTCTTGCTGCTGAATTCTGAACAAGCTGCAAGCATGACAGAGCTGACTGGTTGATGCCGGTGTAGAGGGAATTACAATAATCTAATTGGGAGGAGATGGAAGCATGAACCAGAATTTGTAAATCTTTTATGGACAGAAATGATTTAAGTTTTGCAATGGATCTAAGATGGAAGAAGCTTGAGCTGACAACTGAGTTGATCTGTTTATCAAATCTAAAGCCAGAGTCAAAGATTCTTTACATGAGATTTTAAATGGGAAGACAGAGGACCAAGAGCAGTGGTAACAGCGGCATAAGTGTCTGTAAGGCCAAAGATGAGGACCTCAGTTTTGTCATGGTTCAGCTGGAGAAAGCTTTGTGCCATCCACGATTTTATGTCATTAATACATAGTAATAGTGAATTAATGCTGCAAGGGTCTAATGGTTTCAAGGGAGGTGCAACTGGGAATATATATTATATATACTATATTATATATATATTGTATTTCCTCAGTATAGAGCCTAATGGAAACATGTATAGTGAAAATAAAATTGGGCCTAAAATGGAGCCTTGGGGAACACCATAGGAGAGGAGGAGCAGAGGAGGAGCACACATTTCCAATTTGGACATAGGCTTGAGAAACTAAGTAACACACTAAACAAAAACTGGCCACAGAGCAGACAAAACAGAAATAAAGGCGGCAGACATTCACTGCAAAATACATTTTTATATAGAAAACATTTCAACAAAGTCCTGTTTCTGACACAAAATCACAAAGATGCTTTGCAAACACTTTACACTTTGGGAGATACTTAAAAAAGGTTTAAACAAACTGATTGTCCTACAGTTAATGTCAAACAAGTAACACATGACACCACTGTACTCACTCAGTCAAGTAAAACTTTAGCTGCACCCATTTGTAATAAATCAAGCATTAAATAAAGTTATTTTTTATTTTCACTCTCTCTTCTAAGCAGTGTTCTACGTATTCATAATCAGGGGTGGCGAGTAACTGAATACAAGTAACTAAGTTACGTATTACGTATACGTTACTGTATTCTGTTACAGTTACAGCTTCAGTTGGTGCCATTCTGAATACAGTTACTGTCTTTTAAAATAGATTACTTGAGGGGATTGTGTTATCTGGCTGCTAACTGGCTGCAAGCGACGCAGCGCTGCTGTTTTAAACTGAACTTTTGTCAGACATCCTGTTTCTATTTATTCCTGTTCCTCGCTTTAAAAGCTCCACAATAGAAGAGGAATGACTGATTCATTAAGTTGAAATGAGGAATTATCTACATGATCACTACAAAACTAACTAAAAAAAAAAAAAAAAATACAAAAACATAAATTAGGTGGCAGTTGCCTGAAGGGAGATCTGCAGGGAGCTGAACATTTCTGGCACATCGACTTGTTGTTGGCTACATCATATGAAATTTCCAGTAAATATCACAAAATATAACTTGTGTTTTCTGTTTAAAAAGTACAAACATAGAGCGTACTTGCCTATCTTTTAAGAGGTTATCTGTCCAGTTTAGTGCACAGCTGATAGGTAGGTGGTTTGTCTTTTTAGAAGTGCGCATTTAGCAGATTTAGTGTGGACAGAGAGGCATTCATTTCCCATAAACAGATTTTTTTTAAATGTGTGCAGTGCACCTGTTCAATGACAGTGGCAGGGGAGTGTGCTCTGCGCATGGAAATACAAGACCCAGACAAATGAGTTCAGCAAGCAAGCAAATACTTGGCATATGTTACTTAGTGTGAGTACTCTAGTGGAATGTTACACAAATTACATTTTAGGGCATGTATTCAGTAATCTGCAGTGGAAAGGGTTTTAGAGGTTATCCTCCCAACACTAATCACGTAATATATGTGTATATATTCAACATATTCTCAAAGAATGGTTTATATCATGTCGTACAAATTTGTGACCCCACAAATGATGTTATGTCCTTCATGTACAGTTACATAATTCACGTAAAACTACGGAGGGTAGGTTTAGGCACTAAAAGTTACTGTGGTTAGGTTTAATAAAAGCAACATGGTAAGGACGTACCGTAAAATGTCTCTAAGTTCACTCCAAGTTCACATGGATGTGACCATGAGACACCAGGGGAAAGTCCCGGCCGAAAGTCCACTTTTTTTGACCCATCTGCCACCCCAACCTGGCCCCCTACAAGCGAGCACGGGACTGCTTCTTTGTTTACCACCATCAACGCATTGGTAACTGAACACAGCCTTTCAAAATATGTGGGGTATGTATGAATTTAGGTGCATTACTTTTCATAGGAAAACATGCAAACAGTTTGTGAGAACAGCCTGGTGTATTCATAATGAGCCAAAGGCTAACGCTAGGTTGACAGCAGATACTGTTAAACACACACAAAAAACATAAAAACATTCGAGCTCATTGTGCAGCACCACTGAGGGACAGTCAACTTCAACTTCATCAGCCAAAAACAAGTGCATCACTTTTTAGTGTCCACTGGAGACAGTTTCTGAGCGTCTTGCAGTGCATTTCTTAATTTGTTTGCATTTTCTCTTTGCAGTGCGTTAACCTTGGAGGGCCACCATACATATTGACTACTTTTCCTTCCTCTGACAACTCTACCTAAAGTCTGCTTCCTTCTTTTGAAGAATTCTGGTAAACTGGATCTCTAAAGGCTCCAGCAGTCTCTCGGTGTTCAGCAGCTGTCTCTCGTTTTCTTTCTTGGTCTCGTCCAGTTTCCACTGCGCTCGCAGTAAGTTTTCTTTTTCTGTTAGTAACTCCTGTGGTTTGTCAAACTTCAGCTCCCTCTCTGTTATTTCATTCTCCACTTCCTGAAGCTTCTGTTTGTTAACTTCCCTCTCCCCCTCCACCTCTGCCAGGCGCACTCTGAGTCGATGCCTCTGGTTCTCCAGTTCAGTCTTCATCTCCATCATTGTGTTGACCACATCCGTCTGGTCCTCGTCTTTCTCCACTGACTCCTTCTCAAGCTGTGCGTTTTTCTTCTCCAGCTCTGCTTTCTGGCCTTTTCAACAACAGAGACAGGAATGTTATTCAAACAAAATGTAGTTCATGTAACATGTGTTTCTGTGATAGCACCTGACATTATATGTATGACAGATGATATAAAAACAACTTTAAATTTCCAGCATTTTGGACAAACTGACCACTGACATGAGAAGTCCATGTATCAGGGTTTCATGCAAAAAATTGTTTGTTTTTTTTAAGTGGGCATGATTAAAATATGTCACTACATAAAGGCTTTCTACTTCTGGAGCTGAACCATTAGCACTATTAGAGTGCATGTAATCTTACAACTCACACTGAAGTCGGAGACAACCAGCACTTGGTTAGAGACTTCCTGCGTTAGGAGCTCCTTACATGTACTCTAATAGTGCTGTCTAAAGGCCCGAACATACTCGGGCGGAAGGTACGCGGAGTGGACTCCACGGAGGTCTGCCTGGACCAAAAGCGGACGTCTGCAAGCCCTGTGCGCGCAAAGCTCAGATTTTACGACCATGCGGACTCCGCTCCACACTCCAGTGACTGCTCGGCATGTATTTTTCACATTGACGCGCAAGAATTGTGGGTAATGTAGTGTGTTTCACGGACATTTTTACAGGAAACTACAACGCAGAAGTGCGCTCGACTATGGAAGCCCGAATGACTGTAGACATTCCTCGTGGAGTCCGCTCCGCTTATAGTATGCCCAAGTATGTTCGGGCCTTAACCCCAACCACGTGGCTAAATGTAACCAGCGTTTTTGAAGGAAAAAAACTTGAATTTGCAGTGTTGTACCAATGTTGTGCTTTTATTTTGAAAGAGACTGTATACAAACTGTACATTTCCTGGGACAACATTAGTGTACTTTGAAAACAGACAATGCATCTAACAGGCTGAAGCTGACACGGCGTCCCAGAACATCAACAATCAACACACCCAGGGTACCTTGGACGGCATATCTCAACATGAAATATGTGACGAGGTCGGAGTGAGAATGTGTTGACTCTTAGGCATTGGACCACATTCTCTTAGCACTGGGTCTAAACGTTTTCAATCCCTCCTTCACCTCGCTGCTTTTCTCATCCATCAGTCTGATTTGATCAGCTGTGATTGGATGTTCTGTGACTGAACAATTACTCAAACTGGACAAACCGTTGCTGGAGAAATTGGGATCTAAAGGTAATATAATGCTGTGGTAGACATGAAAGAACTGTGACTTACATTTCCATTTGGTCATGGCATAAACAGCCAGAATCAAACTGAAAGCCAAGTCAAACAGGATAGCAGCTAAGCTCATGTTCGGAAACACAGAGGAAACGAATCCAACGAACCGAGCTGAAACAACAGCAAAACAACAAATTATTCACTTCACAGTAAAACTCTTATCTTATCTTTAAAGTCCATGTTTGACTTTAAATCAAGATTTATGTTTCGGTTCTTTTAAGCTTGTTGCTTCAGATGCATCTTTGGCATTTTGGAAACCAAAATTTGCTAATAAGTTGTCACATAACACCACTTTGTGAGTAGACATGTGATGTGCAAAACTGTGCTCTGAGAATATATGTAACTACAAATGTTACTGGAGACAGATTTAGAAATACAATATAATATAATGAGCTCAGTATAAGAATGCAAGTTACCACATGTGTGTATAAGGAGGACGACAAAGACAGTTTTGAGGGGCATTGATCCTGTCATGATGGTGAGCGCAGAGTCAAAGAGCAGTTCGTCCTTCAGGTTCAGCTTTGTGGAATTCTGAAGAAAAAAAAACAGGCTTTAAATACAAGAAAGGCAGGGTGTGGGATACAGAAAAAAGACACACATCAGACACTGACGCCAAAAGCTACTTCTTTTGGCCATATGATATGCAGCCCTGGTTGATCCTATAGGGAGGGCGAAGGGGTGGTGGATGGCTCCAACAAATCCTGGACTTTCATCCAAACCATGATGTTTTTTTGTTTTTTTCTAAACACAACCACATGCTTTTGTTGCCTGAGCCAAACCGTGTGCCCATTCCAGAACGTCAACAGCAGACGCTGAAGGATACCTAGCGTGTAAAACCCTAGACACAAAAGTCTACTCACAAAGTGGTGTTATGTGAAAACTTGGAATGAGGACATATTCACAAAACACTACGCAAATATGAAGAAAACATATATCCAAAATGAAGCTTTAGTCATTACACAAAGTACTTAGTTTGTAAATTTAACCTCTTTAACTAAGCCCGGACGCCGACGTCCTCGCTCCCCTCCTCCTCTGTTAAATGGTATCTCCCAGGCGCACTACGTCATCAAACCATGTGATGTTTGGTATTGCCGCATTCAGGAAGCTCTCGACTTTTCAACAATAACATTGTTTTTCTTTTATTTATTTATTATGTATTTAGCACCAGAACAAAATCGTGATGAGTGGTGACAAGACATGTCATGCCGTTTTTCGAAGGGAAAAGTTAAAGGATTACTCGTGATCTTATGTGGAGCTGTTAGCAGACACGTAGCTGTTTTATCAAAGACAAGAGTCTCACTCCTACCACTATTTTTGGCTGAGATATACCGTCTAGAAAGTGGGATCATAACTTTCACGTTTCATATGGCTTTATTTGGTGATATTTTATGGTGTATCTGTGTCATAAACAACATCAGCTATCATAATCACACCTGATTTCAATAAGGTACAATGTTTGAAGCTGGCTGAGTGTTGTTTGATCACTGACAGTACTGTTTTGAAGCTGAGTGACCGACTTGTCATTTGGAGCTCCGCCTGGATCTTTTCATGGAAAAAACACTGTAGAATGATCATACTTTGAGCAGTCTTCTTCAAATTTGAAACAAATGTTCATTGATAGTGTGCATACAGCCCCACAGTGTCATTTACCTGCTCAGGTGAAGCCACAGACAGTTATTCATCCTGAAACTCATTTTTTACTGATTCAGAGGCCCATTACTCTGTCTCTGTATCACATAGAGTGTTTCTGACACTTTCACAAGAAACTTCAGAGAGTTTTCTTTTTGGCAAGACCTCATGCATGCATGTCGTCAGAGCGGTTCAGATGCTACAGTCATTTTAATTTGGGTATGTCATTTTAGGCATTTTTGCCACAAAATGGGGGTGGAGTGCAAGATTAAATAAATAACCTGAAATTTATACCTTCTCTAAGCAGGTGTTACATCATTCAGATTTAAACCTATACAGCCAGGCTTATGATTAGTAATGGTTCACAAACATAATTTACAAAATCAAATCATTTTATTTACTAATTTACCAATTTTTTTTTTTTTTATTATTAACTTTTGTGTTACAACAATTAGTTGTTTTTATTATTATTATTACTGAACTTCTTGTCTATTTTATTGTATTTTATTGTCATCATTTTCATTCTTATTTCGTGGTATTTGGTCTCTTTTATCTTGTTCTTTTGATATCACTCTTTTAAACAACTGTTACTGTTATTATAGCTTTTAAATGTATTTTATTACGTTTTCATCATTTTTATAGTCTCTTTTTTTCTTTTTATTATATTCATGGTCTTCAATTGATCTGTCTTATTATCAGATTGTCAGTTATCTCTGCACTAACCTGTATTAAAAGAGCTGTGCAAGAAAAGATTGATTGATTGATTGATTGATTCTTTATTGTTACTATGGTGTAAGAGTTAGACAGATAGGAGAACCTTACAATAGGTACTAGGTACTTGTTGAATTTGTTCTGTTAATGCAACTTTTCTGTGATAATATTCGTGTTCATGAGCAATGAACAATCACTTACCCTTTTATGTTGTAGTTCATGTTTCTCTGTGAGCTTCTCCAGCTCATTCTCCTGTTCCATCAATGTAGCAACCACATTTTCCCATTCTTTCTCCTTCTGTGACTGCTGAAACAGTGACTTTGTCTCGTTATGGTCCATTTTCTCATATTTTTGGGAATAGTCTAAAATTGAGCAAAACCACACAGCAGTTTTGTAAAGTAAAGCAAAAGGTCAATCGTCATGTGAGCGATACTAAAACCATAACAGCAAATAAGACAAAGAGAAACATAAACAGCAGAATACAACCAGACTTTTGTCACGTAATCAGAAGTATTTTAACCATTTAATCATAAGAGCAGTGACTTACAGTTCCATGAGCTCAGCGCCGCGACAAATGCAGCAACAGGTAGAATAAATTGCTTGATCATGATGATACAGAATATGTAGGAGTGGATGAGGCTGAATCAGCTGCAGTGAAGACACACAAGACAGTGTGTGTGCTGTTGTATTTTGTCTATCTGGTTTTAAATCTACAAAATCATTGTGGAGGCAAACAAGAATGTTTAGATACATCAACAGAGTTGGCGCCTGATTTAGAAATTCACAACACCAGAGAGTAGGACACACCAATAAACATAAGTTCATGTAGTCAAACCTTTACAAGAATGTTGCACCACTACAATAGAATGAGCAATTTAGACGAGTTACATACCTGCTTTGTACGGTGAAGTCTCCTCGGCTCAGAGAAACAAACGTACAGTACGCTGCACCCAGTATGCTCCACTAAAATAACTTGCACTTTGATCCCATTCACCTGTAATCAGATACCTCGGTTGACTTTGTGTGTTCCTGCCTGTCTGCTGCAGCTTCTACATGTATATACTGTATGTTGTATCTTTGAAAATGTGAAAACTTTTGCACTTTACAACAAGGTTTTAAACTCTACTCCAGTTTTATCTGCTCTTTAATTGCCCCTTTTCACTTTCCAGCAAGGGTTTTATCTGTAGGTCTGAAAAGTAAGGTGGAAGCCTGCATTCATTCTAATGGCCAGCAGGGGTAGGCTCCACTTGTTAACAAAAAAGAAGACCAATTGTTGTTATCAAGTAAATTACTTTCATTCTCACTTCATTTATTACTTAACTGAACATTTTCCTGATGAGTTTATAGTCCCAGTATAGTTTCAAGTCTTCTTCAACACAGCATGAAGTTCATTTCAGAAATGATGCTCCCATTTAAAGTAAAATAGGCAATAATACAGTGTGCTTTAGGGTGTCGCACCAGCAAGATGGTGTCCTGGCTTTCGTGGTCAGATCTACCCCTCGCTCCTTCACAGCTCCCCTCTCTTGTCTAAATATGATCACTTATGGCTCCAAAAGTCAAAGAAAGTGACGGCCAAAATGAACCAACTCGAGGCCTCAGAACAGGAGTCCACAAACCAATAGATGATGCCGTGGTGGCTGCGTCCATTATTTTATACAGTCTACAGTTTTAGGGCTGGTTTTAAATTTTTTGCTCTGTACTTAAAGGGTGTGCCATCCATTTGAGACAGGTCTCAGGTCTTCAAAGGGCTTTATCTATTTTTTTATTGCTTTATTTGTGGGGGAAAGTGCAGACAACAATGACAGTTGCAGAAGCAGTGTCTGATGGACTGAACACACAGTGGTGGAGGAAGAATTCAAATCCTTTGCTTCAGTAAAAGTACAAATACCACCACTGTAAAAACACTGTTACTTGTAAAAGTCTTGCACTAAAAATGTTACTTAGGTAAAAGTATGTAAGAACACTCAGGAAAATATGTTTAAGTGTTAAAAGTAAAAGTGAGCCTGCTCATGCAGAAAAAATCTACTTGATAAATTAATTAAAAGGAAAGCAGTGAGTCATCATAATTGAGAAGCTGCGAATACAAACTGTTTTTGCAGGGAGAATAATTTAAACATTTGTCATTTTGTATTTTTGTATTTTCATCTGGTTTGTGTGCAAAAAAACTTAATTTATAAAATAACTAGTTACTGAAGTAACTAAATTTTCACCAGGATTTTCACCAGGAAAATGAAGCCATGATGTCATTTTCCTCTGAGCCAGACTCCATTGAGAAAAGCAGTGATTGAAAATTCCTGAACACAGGAGCTGCTGCTCTACCGCTGCGTCCATCGGTTATTTTGTTTGGGTTATTGTGTGACTTTGGTGTTGTAAGGGGTTAGTTCATGTTTTCTTGCCAACCCTTTGACAGCAGTACAGCTTCTCCAGACTGGGGCCGTGCTGACTGACATCTACTGTAACTAACTATAGATAAGTCCCCCATGCAACCCCACCTCAAAAACTCTCAATGACCACTTTAAAAGCAGCTTGTTTTCTTTGGTGTTTCTTGGTATTATAATAATATCTGGTGATGTGTACACTTGTCTTTATGTCTTCTGTCATTGTTTTCTTCTGCAATCTCACGTTGGAAAAAAGAAAATCTTCCACAAAACATGTTAAAATCAAATTTTATTTGATTCTCACAATCAGAGAAAATAGCAAATTCTGAACTGTGACATTACAAATGCAAATCACACAGCAGCTCAGATCATGACTTTAACATTTTGTATCACCATGCAAATGTGCAAATCTTATCCCTAAATGCATTTTTACATACACTCAATTAGTATTGTTATTTTACAGTTAGTAACAAGATACTTTTTCTAAACTCTTAACACAGCAACACACTGACATCACACAGTTAGTTCAATTTTTTAGCTGTTTTCTGTCCAAGACGAACATGTTATCAATAATGACTATCAAAATACAAACATCTGATGGCATTATACAAAAGCTGCATTACTTGTCATGTGTTAGTTGTACCTGCATGAAAAAAAATGTTTTTTGCATTGAGTGAAAACAAACAAACAAAAAAAAAAAAAACACTGGTCAAATTGCTGCAGTAATACACAAATATAGTAGAAAAGGCAGTACAGATTGGAATCAGAATTGTCTACTTTACACAATTTATACATTTCTCGGATATTCTTATGATATTATTCAGTCAAGAAGAATTATCAGTTGTTTGTTATACTAACTTTAAATAAGACGAGAAAGATCCATAAATTTGGTTTTGGATAAGCTTGAATGTAAAGAAAACTATCCCCTCCTTTCCCATTTATTTATTACTTTTAAATGGGTTCTGTTTTATTCTGTGTGTTGAATTCCATTGTATTTGTTTACAATGACAATAAAAGGACTTGACCTGAACTTCAGCAGTTTAGAAACTGCAAATCATTGGCTGCATATTCTGTGGAAACAATGTGAATTTTGTTAATGGTATGGTCCACAACAGACAGCTGTTATTGTAATGTTGTTTAGAGTTTATAGTTAATGATTGTAAAAAAAAAAAAAAAAATGTAATTCAGTTGCACTTAGTGATAACCCTCTTTTCTAAAATTTCACTTTACATCAAATTTTTTCAACCATCCCAGTAAGCATGACTTAACTCATCTGAATATTGACACTGAAGCCAGTTTCCTGGTGCATCAATAAAATGTTTGTGAGCTGTATCTGTTCACCTTTTGGTGATTTCTAATTTGCCTTGTGTTTGGCTAATCTATCCATACCTAGACATCTCTCCTCCTGTTCAATCTACTGACCTGTATCTCCACTGGCTCCAGCACTTTCTCTATGTTCAGTATCCGTCTCTCTATGTTCCTCTTTGTCTCGTCCAGTTTCCACTGAGCCTGCAGTAGATTTTCTTTATCTCTCAATAACCTCTCTGGTTTGTCAAATACCTTTTCTCTCTCTGTTATTTCTGCCTCCACTGCCTGAAGCTGCCTCTCGTTCTCTTCTCTGTCTGCCTCCACCTCCTCCAGTTCTCCCTTGACTTGATGTTTCTGTGCCTCCAGGTCCTTTATCAGTTCTTGTAGGCTGGAAACCACCTGTGCAATGTTCTCCTGTTCTTCGGTCTTCATCCTTTGTACTTCACTTTCATGTGATGTTTTCCTCCATGAATCAGGTTTGGCACCTTTTATGATGAAAAGATGTAAAACACAGAAACACCAAAAAAAAACAAAAAAAAAACCTGTTATTAAACAGCAAATAATATTTCGGTAAACCTAATAAAATTCCATTAATACAATCAGGAGAAACACTGTGTTGGTGTTTTGCAGTAAAATGTTAATATTGTAACCATCAAGGAGCTGTGACTTACGTATACATTTATACCAGACGACAACAGCTATCACACAGCAAACAACCAGTACACCGCCAGCACAAACTGCAGCCATGGGAACACAGTCATAAGTAAAAATGGTTTGACCCATTTTAGCTGGAATATCATCAGCTGAGGACGCAGCACCTGAGAGTGACAAAGAGCTGAAATGTCAAACTCATCTGGCAGCATCAACACTTATTAAATCAGTTTACAGTGCTTTTTTTTTTAATCAACATGCTTGAAACTTGAGAATAATTATAAGTACAGAAGTAGAGTTGTAGGCCCAACACATGTTGCCTATCTTGCTTAAATTAACAATTATTGTCATACACTTATATTGGGATTCATAGCAATTAATATGAGTGAACAGGAGGGTGAGTGTGAGCAACTGTTCTTAATGTGACAACTAATGACTAACTTGATATATAATAATACCTTAAGCTAATATTTTTTAAATTAAATTATTTAAACAGCCCATTCTCACTCCCAACTCGTCGCCACTTTGTCACTGATTTCCACATCAGACAAATAAGCAAAAAGACACCTTTTGCAGCGGTATGATAACCCACCAAGCAGCGTCAGTTTATTAGGCCCATGGAGGGTATCAGTTTGAAAAGCTGCAGCTAACGACAACATAGGAGTGGGAAAGTCCTGATGGGGCAGGTGGGAGCGGTGGCATATGGCGGAGCCTGCTGTTCACTTAACGTGTGAATGGAGTTCCAAACCATGATGTTTTTTTGTTTTTTTTTCCCTAATTCCAACCACTTGCTTTTGTTGCACAAGAAATTAAATGTGAGTAAGATGTTTTGTTAACGTACATTTACTTTGAAAAAGACTGTGTGCATCTAATGAACACTGTAAAATTAAAACAGAAGTGTACTTTGAAAAGACACAATGCATGGAACAGCAACGTCAACAACCAACCCGGTCTCACTCGGAAGTCGTTGAATTCCTGCACTTGGTCAGTAACTTCCGGTGTCAGACACAGAAGAAAAAGCCGACCCTTCAGGTCAGAATCATACATGGCCGGTGGCTGTTACTGTTTAACGGTTTCCTCGGCAACAGGGGCGAATGTGGTGGGACAACAATGAAAGTTCAGGCAGTGAAACTCCGAGTAGGGCGAGCGGAAGGGATGGTGGAAGGCTGTCAGGAACCACCGACTTTCAGGGGTTGTTGGATCAAGGTGTTCGCTTCCCGTAACATTAAAATGCCCAGACCCTGTTCTTTTTTTCCAAGATCCAGCCACATGCTTTTGCTGCCTAACACCCAACCACGTAGCTGTCTTTGCAAAACATAACCATGTGTATTTGTTGTAGAAGGGGGGAAAAAAACTTCAATTCGCAGTACCAGCACAGTGCGATTAATTTGGACGAGACTGTGTGCAAATGGCACATGTCCTGTGAAAACGTAAGTGTATCTTGAAAACGGACAAATGGGCAAAGTCACTGACCAAGCGTCGTTATGTGAAGAGGTCGGAATGAGAACATGTTGCAACAACGGGTGCAGGAGGATACCTAGCCCGTCATACAGTATGTGGGCGCAAAGTCCACTGATAAAGTGGCGATATTTGACGAGTTGGGATTGGAATGCATTGGTAAGAATGCACAGAGCGAAGTATCGAGGATAACAACAACAATAAATATAACAACAAACTTTTCAAGATCGACGTCACAAAGTTCTTCAAGAAGATGCAAACCAAAACTGACAAGTGACAAAATCATCAGATTTTAAGTGGAAAAAAAAACAATTTGGTGTATTAAAAAAAAGCAATACAATAACAAGGTGCAGTCGTCCAGCTACAGAACATTACAGCAGGTGCAGTGTAAGTTCAGTTGCATTCTCGAAGCACCACGGTTGCCTTTCCCTAAGTCCTTATGAATTATCCTTTACCGCTTTCTTGATGGTTTCCATCAAGGTCAATGAAAGTGTACAGGAAAGGAGACTGTTTTGTCTATTGGACCCCAGCCAAAGCTTTCACTGATGTGTGTTTGAATTTGTTTTACAATGCAGAGACAGACAGAGAATATTCAACTTAAATACTCACTGTTCACAAGATCACGTGGCAGTGGAGGCACACTGGACCTCTGAGAATGATATTCTTTAAACCAGCAGTAAACACTTTAAAGAAGAGACCATGTGGAGAAGCAAAGCAAAATAATAACAGTTATCACCATGATATAGTCTGATAATTAATCAATAATGAAATAAAGTCAAATCTTTACTGTAAGATCTTTATTCTACCTCAATGCACCTTGTATTTTTTCATGCACTTAAAATGATTAAAAATAACAAGTAATTTAAACATTAAAAAAGTAATGTTCTGATAGCTCACCTGTCGTGTGCGTGAACGAGTCAGCTCCTCTCAGTGTGCAGAGATCTTCAGGGACAAAGTCCTCGAATAAAATGATTCGTCCGTTGACACTGGTCGACTGTAATCAGGTAAAGGTGTGTCCACCATGTCTCCTGTCTGCTGCAGCTCTGTCTGTTTTCACTGAACATTTACTGTGCTCACATTGTTGACTGAATGATTGCTTTTGTGCTTAGTCCTATCATGGGACAATAAATCATACACGCTGACTGTTGATGTTCAGCTCAGTCTGTTTCCTGACAGCCAACTATTTCTAAATGTTTTCTGGACGACTTCTCAGTCTGGAGTTTAGCTCGACCTTTGTGCTTTTCATCAGCTGCATGACAGGTGAACTGCAGTCATAAAATATCAACCTGCAGGTGTAATTGTAGCTCCAAGTCCACTGAGTCATTAATGTCACAACGGAGGGACAACTGCGCAGGTTGATTTTAGCGCTTGTCATCGTGTTATGCAAACCATACAGTTTTAAAATGAGGCGCAGCTCCAACTAGAAAACAATGTTTTGATGCTTCAGATGTGCCGAAAGTGCATTTTAAGTGACTTCAACCAAGAAAGTGAAGCTGTGATGTCGTTCTCTTCAAAGCCAGACTCCACTGAGAAAAACAGTTATTAAAAATTCCTGAACACAGGAGCTGTTGGTCTACTGCTGTCTCCATTGGCTATCTTGTTTGTGTTATTGTGTGACTTTGACATTCATAGTGCATGGGTTGGTTTGGATTCACCATAGTCACACGTTAACATAAACTAACTGATTGAAGCAGCAGTAAACCAACAGCTCCTGTGTTCAGCGTGCTAAGATTACTGTTTTTATCAGTGGAGTCTGGTGCCTTTGATCTAAAGCTGTCCGATTGTAAAAGCTAAAGCTGTGACAACACTTTCTATAAGATAGGACTTTAGATGGGACTTTTTTTAGGTGGCTTGGTGTTACCGACCCCTCCACAGCAGTACAACATCTTATCTTCTGTGTCCTCTCCAGACTGGGGCCGTGCTGACTGAGCTATGACAGGGCTATGAACTTTATTTTTTGTAGCTTTAAGAGTTGGCAGATTCCTCCTTAACAAAGAACAGTGAATGTTCAAGGTGACCAGTAAAGATTCATGTTGTTTACAGTAGAATCAAGTTTCAAGTGGGAAAAAGCAAAAACTTCCACAAAACGAGATTAAGTAAAATTTAATTTAGTTTCAAAACGTCCTCAAAAATAGCAAATTCTGAAGAGAATCAAATTGTGACATTACACACACAAATCACACAGCAGCTCAGATCATGTATTTGGCATTTCATACAAACATTTATACAAATCTTCACACACAATTTTACATCCACGGAACCAATTAGATTTTTACAATTGCTTACAGATGTTTAAGATACTTCCTTTAAACTCTGAACACAATAACACACCTACGTTATACAATTAATGTTAATTTCTTTTTTTTCTGTATTTTGCTCAAAACTGCTTTTTGCTCATTAATTTCCATCTTCGCACTTTATACAGCAAGGGTCATCCAATTATTCAGAGGTGTGTCTTAAGGTGAATGAATCACCTTTACTTTATAGAATATGCAGCAGCAAAACAAATTGTACTTCACCAAATAGTTTATTTATTTTAAAGCAACATAATATTGTTGGCATTAATCAACTTTGGTAAGAAATGTGTAACAATAAAACACACAAATATAGTCGAAAAGGCCCCGAAAGGAACAGCAAAGAAACAAACACACAAAAAAACAAAAATGCACTTAAGTCTCTGGTTGAGATTAGAATCAGCTGTGGTTGGTTTATTTTTCACAACTTTTAAATTCATCAATGTTTCAATGAAATGAGTTGATCAAGAAAGATCTTCAGTTGTTTCAATGTTTTGAGCTGCTGCTGTTACAGAAGTAGAAGCTTTGTACTAATTTAAGGGTTTGAACATTAGGTTTTAATTTCTAGCATTCCCTGTGCAAACATTTGTGAATAAAACAAGACAGTTTTGGTATTGGGTGAGCTTGAATGTAAAGAAAATGTAAGCATTTTAGAAACATGTTAACTGACTGCATATTCTGTGACAACGGCATGATTTTTGCTAACGATCTGGTCCACAACACAGACATGTTATGCTGAGTGTGTTCAGAGTTTTGAAAATGTAACTACAGGTTGGATAAAGGGATGTTAGTGATTGTATATGTTGTTGATTTTATTATATCCATCATAAATGTAGTTGTTATGGTCATTCAGCTGAATCTAGTGCAACCCATTCTAATTCTTGAGTCTTCAAATATCGCTGCTTGGTCAGTGATTTTGGCATCATGCACCTATGAAGAGACTCATTCTTTCACAGTGGTATGATTCGCCGCCAGGTGGTGTCAGTTTTGAAATATTTCCAGTTTACATTCAGTTCAAATAAACACAAGGGGCTCTAGTTTCGCAGACCGGGTGCGGCGGAGGCGCAGTGCACCTGCGCTTCGCCAACTGGGTGTGGCCAGGCGGATTTTGTAAGTTTGGCACACCATGTGCCCTGGCGCAGCTACTCCTCTATCCCACCTCCGTCCCTCCTACTGGAGCAAGTCGGAAAGAGGGAGGAGAGAAGGCGTGGAGTGGGTTTTACACACATCACACCAATCAAATGAGCCCCTCTCCTCGCCCTTAAATGCGCTGCGCAAAGGCGTAATGAGACTTTACTCAATTCGCCATGGCAGAAGAGAGCAGCAGCGTCAGACGGCCAAACTTCTCCCAGGAGGAAACTGATGTTTTGGTCCGGGAGGTCCAAGCTCACAGTGTCCAAATATACGGAACTGCGAGCGGACCTCCACGGGCTGATGATGCAAAGGTAGCCTGGGAGGAGGTCACCACAACTGTAAATCAATGATGTGTTTCTCTCGTGCGTGCTCTCTCTTTCTCTCTCACAGTCTCGCTCTGTTTCTTTTCTTTTGACTTTTCTAAGATGACAGATGCTGAATATATACTCCCTATCTGATGCTGTGGCTGTTTGTGGTTGGCTGAGAGGGATGTGAACTCATTAGTTTGCAGGCTGTGTTAATAAAATCAGGTTAGGTTTCCATTACACGTGCCAAACGTGCCAAACGGTGCCAATCCCCTTTGATCTGACATCAGATGTGACGGGACAGTCGATATAGAGATACATTTATGTGCTGATTGCAGATAGTTGCATTGAATAGTGGTTTTCTGGGTATTTATTGCATCGTTAATGTGCCTGACATTCTGGAGACCTGCCTGTGAGGTTTTGGTGACGTGTGCGCACTGTCCGCCGGTCAGCCAAACTTCGGCTTACACCGGCTGCGCTCCCCCTGCGCTGACAGTAGACGTGGTTTCAGCTGGCGAGCTTTTAGCGCACCTTNAAGTGGGATAGAAAGCAGTGATTTGTCAGTGGATCTGAGGGGACGAGAAGTGGAATAGGGAGTGAGGAGTTCTGAAATATAATCTGGTGCTGGTCCATGCAGTGCTTTAAAAACAAATAAAAGAGTCTTAAAATCAATCCTATACTTTACAGGTAACCAGTGAAGCGAGGCCAATACAGGGGAAATGTGATCACTTCTCCTGGTACCAGTTCATTCAAATAAACACAAGAAGTTTGTGCTCTAGAGAAAGGATCAGCACTCAGTGAATAACCTCCTAAGCCCTAAGATAAGCTATTATGGCAAGGCTTAACTATACAGACCAGTGAGCAGTGATAACTAGCATGTCTTTGGGGTCATCAGGTGGGAACCTCCTTTCACCAGTGTTTCGTCTAGTTGGTCCCACGACACCTCCAGGAGGCTAGACAGTGATCTCTGGCGTCCCAGAGACACTCCCCTAATGCCAGGTCTCACTGCTCCCCACACCAACCCAATAACCTCCTTTACCTTACTTACACATGGCTGTCTCAGCCCAAACAGCACTGCCACCTTCAACAAACCCAGGCTCCGTACATGCGAGCTCCAGGTAGAGACAGTGCTGATACTACCTTCCCTAGCACATTCACCATACTCTGTTTCACACGCTACATAGCATAACTCCAATATAAGCTAAAGTTAAAGGAGATAAATAAACTCACAGGATCAGCAAACACACTCCCCTTGCAGCATGGCCTCAAACAAAAGGGATTCAAATAGGCCACTCCCACACTTAAATAACCTTCCTCTTCCTGGATTTTCTCCTGAGAGGAAGTGGATCTCTCCACCTGATCTCAAGGAGTTATGTACCCTGCTTAGTAGTTCACCCCGCTGCCCCCCAACTGACATTATTCTTTCTCATCCAAATCCACTGACTAGCTCTGGCTGCTTCAACTGACATTTGACATTACAACCTAATTTAAGAGGCTGGAAAGTCCCTATAGAGTGGGTAAGAGAGATGGAGGATGGTTTTTTTTTCTAAACTTACCCACATGCTTTTGTTGCACTACAAAATAAACATAAATTAAAAAAAAAAACTGTATGCATCTAACAAGAAACTGTACAATCCCTGTGAAAACAAAAGTGTATTTTGAAAAGACACAATGCATGTAACAAGGCGTAAATTGACACACTGACACTTCAACAACAGACACACCCAGGATACCTAGCTCATCATAGTCCACTGACCAAACAGCAATATCTGAGAAGTTGGGAATGAGAATGTGTTGCCTAATGATAATAAATCCCAATTTCACACCTTTCCTTTTTTCGTAAAATTTCACTTTACATCTAATTTTTCAACCATACCAGCAGGCATGAATATATTCATCTGGAGTTTGACATTTCATTTTCTTGCTGGTTCCTGGTGCACCAATAAAATGTTTGTGAGCTGTATCTGTACTTTTGGTGATTTCTACAGTAATTTGACTTCTGTTTGGCTAATCTGTCGATACCTAGACATCTCTCTTTCTGTTCATTCTACTGACCTGTATCTCCACTGGCTCCAGCACTTTCTCTATGTTCAGTATCTGTCTCTCCAAGTTCCTCTTTGTCTCATCCAGTTTCCACTGATCCTGCAGTAGCTTTTCTTTTTCTCTCAATAATCCCTCTGGTTTGTCAAATAGTTTTTCTCTCTCTGTTATTTCTGCCTCCACTGACTGAAGCTGCCTTTTGTTCTCTTCCCTCTCTGCCTCAACTCTCTTCAGTTCTTCTTTGACTTGATGTTTCTGTGCCTCCAGGTCCCTTACCAGTCCCTGTAGGCTGGACATCACCTGTGCAATGTTCTCCTGTTCTTCTTTGGCTTGATCTCTCTGTGCCTCCAGGTCCCTTATTTGTTCCTGTAGGCTGGAAACCACCTGTACACTGTTCTTCTGTTCTTCTTTGACTTGATCTCTCTTTGCCTCCAGGTCCCTTATTTGTTCCTGTAGGCTGGAAACCACCTGTGCAATGTTCTTCTGTTCTTCTTTGACTTGATCTCTCTTTGCCTCCAGGTCCCTTATCAGTCCCTGTAGGCTGGAAACCACCTGTGCACTGTTCTTCTGTTCTTCTATCTTCATCCTTTGTGTCTCACTTTCATGTGATGTTTTCCTCCGTAAATCAGCTTTGGCCCCTTTTGTGAGGAAAAGATGTGACATTGAACAACACAGAGACACACAGAGGGAGTGCAAATAAACAGCAGACAATGGCGTTTTGCAGTAAAATGTTAATATTGTAACCATCAAGGAGCTGTGACTTACGTCTCCATTTATACCAGATGACAGCGGCTGTCAAACCACCAACACCCAGTCCAGTGACGCCACAAACCACAGCCATGGGAACACAGTCAGAAGTAAAAATGTTTTGACGCATTTTAGCTGGAATATCATCTGCTGAGGTCGCAGCACCTGAGAGTGACAAAGAGCAGAGATGTCAGACTCATCTGGCAGCATCTGTCAAAAATGTTAATATTGTAACCATCAAGGAGCTGTGACTTACATCTACATTTATACCAGACGACAACTGTTATCACATCAAAACCCCGTCCAACCACACCACAAATTGCAGCCGTGAGAGCACAGTCAGAGGTTGAAATGCTTTGACCCATTTTAGCTGGAATATCATCTGCTAAGTACGCGGCACCTGAGAGTGACAAAGAGCTGAAATGTCAGAGTCATCTGGCAGCATCAACACTTATTTAGTCAGTTTAAAATGTATCAGAATATTTTTCCTCTTTGTGTAGGATGTGCAACTTTTAGACTTTAATTATTCCTAGTGGAAGTTTGAGATCAAAACTGATGTTTGTCCTAATTATTTTGGCTGGTACAACAAAGCAGAGACAGAAAAATATAGTATTCTGAAGTACTCACTTGTCACAGGATCATGTTTCATTGAAGGCATGCCGGAGTTCTGAAAAGTAATGTTGCAACAAAATGTTATTTTTCAGAGTCCAGGGGAAAACAAAAATAAATATGTGTAATGAGTTTGTCACATCACAGAAAAATGTGTCAGTTTTAGTAGAAAAGGCCCCGAAAGAAAACAAACAACCAAAAAACCAAAAATGTCTCTGGTTGAGATTAGAATCAGCTGTGGTTGGTTTGTTTTTCACAACTTTTAAATTCATCAGTGTTTCAATGAAATGAGTTGATCAAGAAAGATCTTCAGTTGTTTCAATGTTTTGAGCTGCTGCTGTTACAGAAGTAGAAGCTTTGTACTAGTTTAAGGGTTTGAACATTAGGTTTTAATTTCTAGCATTCCCTGTGCAAACATTCGTAAATAATACAAGACAGTTTTGGTATTGGGTGAGCTTCAATGTAAAGAAAATGTAAGCATTTTAGAAACATGTTAACTGACTGCATATTCTGTGACAACGGCATGATTTCTGCTAACGATCTGGTCCACAACACAGACATGTTAAGCTGAGTGTGTTCAGAGTTTTGAAAATGTATTAAAATGTATTAGAGGTTGGGTAAAGGGATGTTAGTGATTGTAAAACACCAAAATTGTTGTTGACTTATTATATTCATCATAATTGTAGTCGTTATGGTCATTCAGCTGAATCTAGTGCAACCCATTCTAATACTTGAGTCCTGAAATATCGCTGCTTGGTCAGTGATTTTGGCATCAGGCATCGGCTGAAGGCAGAGGTCCCTAATAATTATAATAATTATTACAATAAATTGTACTCGTAATAAATTATACTGATACTCTCTCTGTTATTTCTGCCTCCACTGCCTGAAGCTGCCTCTTGTTCTCTTCCCTCTCTGCCTCAACTCTCTTCAGTTCTCCTTTGACTTCTCTCTGTGCCTCCAGGTCCCTTATCAGTCCCTGTAGGCTGGACATCACCTGTGCAATGTTCTCCTGTTCTTCAGTCTTCATCCTTAATTCATTTTGAAGAGATGTAATTTTCCTCTGCAAATCAGCTTTGGCACCTTTTGTGAGGAAAAGATGTGACATTGAACAACACAGAGACACACAGAGGAAGTGTAAATAAACAGCAGACAATGGTGTTTTGCAGTAAAATGTTAATATTGTAACCATCAAGGAGCTGTGACTTACGTCTCCATTTATACCAGACGACAGCGGCTATCAAACCACCAACGCCCAGTCCAATGACGCGACGAACCACAGCCATGGAAGCACAGTCAGAGGTTAAAATGGTTTGAACCAATTTGGCTGGAATATCACGTGCTAAGTACGCAGCACCTGAGAGTGACAAAGAGCTGAAATGTCAGAGTCATCTGGCAGCATCAACACTTATTAAATCAGTTTAAAATCTACTAAAATATTTTTTCCTCTTTGTGTAGAATGTGAAACTTTTAGACTTTAAGGGCCAGTGTGTAATTTTTGGCATGGTTTATTGTCAAATCTGAATCTGAATATTCTACCCATTAATATGTTTATATAAGTGTATAATCGCTATAAAATAAAATTTGTTTGGTTTTCGTAGCCTTATAATTATGCTTTTATATATATATATACAGTACAGGCCAAAAGTTTGGACACACCTTCTCATTCAATGCGTTTTCTTTATTTTCATGACTATTTACATTGTAGATTCTCACTGAAGGCATCAAAACTATGAATGAACACATGTGGAGTTATGTACTTAACAAAAAAAGGTGAAATAACTGAAAACATGTTTTATATTCTAGTTTCTTCAAAATAGCCACCCTTTGCTCTGATTACTGCTTTGCACACTCTTGGCATTCTCTCCATGAGCTTCAAGAGGTAGTCACCTGAAATGGTTT